AACTAGAAAAATTGCAAAATAAAAAACTGAACAAACGAAAAAATGGAAAAGAAGAAATGAAGAAACGAAAAATTGGAAAGTGAAGAAATTGAAAACCTTAAATTGCAATTAAAATATTGAAAAATCGAAAAATTAAAAAAATTAAGAAAACCAGAACCCAAAAATTGTAAATAGAAAAATTGAGACATGATAAAATGAAAAATTGCACAATTGCAGATCCACAAATTGAAAAATTTCACATTGAAAAAAATTGCATTTTGAAAAATCAAAAAATTGAAAACCGAAAAATTGAAAAATCCAAATATAGAAAAACTAATAATCGAAAATTTGAAAAGTCCAATAAATGAAAAAGTTTTAAACTCCAATAATTCAAAAGACGAAGATTCTAAAATCGTAAAATTGTAAAAGTTTTTTTTAATTATAATTATTAGTTCATATTCAAAATGAAAACTAGGAAAATCGCAAATCAAAAATTGAAGAAACGAAAGATTGAAAAATGAAGAAACTAAAAATTCCAAAAGTTGAAAAATAAAATAGTTGAAAACCGAAATTCTGCAATTCAAAATGTTGAAAAATCCAAAAATTAAAAAAAAGAAAAACCGAAACGAAAAATTGAACACACGAAAAACTGAAAAATTGAAAAGATAAAGAAAATAAGCCGAAGAGAAAAATTCCAAATTGAAAAATCGAATAATTGAAGACCGAAAAATTGCAAATTGAAAAATCCAAAAATTAAAAAATTTCACATTGAAAACAGAAAAGTTACAAAATCAAGATATTGAAAAACCGAAAAATTGAAAAAATAAATCCAAATTGAAAATATTCACCTTGAAAATAAAAAGTTTCTAGATATATTTATTAATTTTTGGTTTTTTCAATTTTTCGATTTTTTAATTTCTCGATTTTTCAAATGTTTTTTTAATTCTGCAGTTTAATTTTAAATTTAATTAATTAAAAAATGGAAAATTCCAAAAATTGTAAAATTGCGCATGGATTTTTTTTTTAATTATTATTATTTCATATTTAAAATAAAAATTAGAAAAATTGCAAATGAAAAATTGAAGAATCGAAAAAAGGGAAAAGAAGAAATGAAGAAACGAAAAATTAGAAAATGAAGAAATTGAAAACCTAAAATTGCAATTAAAATATTGAAAAATTGAAAAATTAAAAAAATTAAGAAAACCCGAAACCAAAAATTGTAAATAGAAAAATTGAAAAATTTCACATTGAAAAAAAAACAAATTATTAGATCATAACATTGAAAAACCGAAACGAAAAATTGCATTTTGAAAACATGAAAAATTGGAAAATCAAAAAATTGAAAACCGAAAAATTGAAAAATCCAAAAATTGATAAATTTCACATTAAAAAAAGAAAATTTATAAAATCAGAACATTGAAAAACCGAAAAATTGAAAAAATTATAAAAATTAAAAACCGAAACGACCAATTGCAAATCGAAAATTTGAAGAACTGAAAAACTGAAATCCAAATATTGAAAAACTAAAATTCGGAAATTTGAAAAGTCCAATAAATTAAAAAGTTTGAAAGTCCAATAATTGAAAAGACGAAGATTCTAAAATCGTAAAATTGTAAAAGTTTTTCTTAATTACATTTATTAGTTCATATTCAAAATGAAAACTTGGAGAATTGCAAGTCAAAAATTGGAGAAACGAAAGATTGAAAAATGAAGAAATTAAAAATTCTAAAAGTTGAAAAATTCAAAAAAATAAAGAAAATAAACCGAAACGAAAAATTCCAGGTAGAAAACATGAAAAATTGAAAAATCGAAAAATTGAAGACCGAAAAATTGCAAATCGAAAAATTGAAAAATCCAGGAATTAAAAAATTTCACATTGAAAACAAAAAAGTTACAAAGTCAGGATATTGAGAAATCGAAAAATTGAAAAAATAAATCCAAATTGAAAATATTCACACAGAAAAATCAGAACATCGAAAAGCTGAAAAATTGCAAACCGAAAATTTGAAGAAATGATAAACTGAATTGAATTGAAAATAGAATCAAAATTTGAAAACTAAAAATTTGCCAGTCAACAAATTAAAAAATCCAAATTCAATTTTGCCACAGTTTTCTACGGTCTTTTTCCACAGTGGGGCAACGTTAGGTTAATTTTTTATTTTAAGATTTTTCAGTTTCTCATTTCTTGAAGTTCTCGATCTGTACTTTTTGGATTTTATAATTTGTTCAGTTTCTCAGTTTTTAGATTAATTTTAGGTTTTTTCAATTTTTTGATTTTTCAAATGTTTCTTTAATTCTACAGTTTAATTTTAAATTTAATTAATTGAAAAATGGAAACATTCTAAAATTGTAAAATTGCGTAAGGAATTTTTTTTTATTAGTATTATTTCATATTTACAATGAAAACTAGAAAAATTGCAAGTAAAAAATTGAAGAAACGAAAAATTGGAAAATGAAGAAATTGAAAACCTAAAATTGCAAATAAAATATTGAAAAATTGAAAAATTAAAAAAATTAAGAAAACCCGAAACCAAAAATTGTAAATAGGAAAATTGAGACATGATAAACTGAAAAATCGAACAATTGAAAACTAAACATTAGCAAATCCACAAATTGAAAAATTTCACACTGAAAAAAAGACAAATTATTAAATCAGAACATTGAAAAACCGAAACGAAAAATTGCATTTTGAAAACATGAAAAATTGGAAAATCAAAAAATTGAAACCCGAAAAATTGAAAAATCCAAAAATTGAAAAATCCAAAAATTGAAAAATCCAAAAATTGAAAAATCCAAAAATTGAAAAATTTCACATTAAAAAAAGAAAAGTTATAAAATCAGAACATTGAAAAACCGAAAAATTGAAAAAAATATGAAAATAAAAAACCGAAACGACCAATTGCAAATCGAAAATTTGAAGAACTGAAAAACTGAAATCCAAATATTGAAAAACTAAAAATCGAAAATTTGAAAAGTCCAATAAATGAAAAAGTTTCAAAGACCAATAATTGAAAAGACGAAAATTCTAAAATCGTAAAATTGTAAAAGTTTTTTTTTAATTATAATTATTAGTTCATATTCAAAATGAAAACTAGAAAAATTCCAAATCAGAGAAGCAACAAAAGATTGAAAAATGAAGAAAGTAAAAATTCTAAAAGTTGAAAATCCAAAAATTGAAAAAAAGGAAAACCGAGACGAAAAATTGAACACACGAAAAACGGAAAAATTGAAAAATCAGAACATTGGAAAAACGAAAAATTGAAAAAATAAAGAATATAAACCGAAACGAAAAATTTCAGATAGAAAACGTGAAAAATTGAAAAATCGAAAAATTGAAGACGGAAAAATTGCAAAATCGAAGAATTAAAAACTTTCACATTGAAAACAGAAAAGTTGCAAAATCAGGATATTGAAAAACCGCAAAATTGAAAAAATAAACCCAAATTGAAAATATCCATATAGAAAAATCATAATATCGAAAATCTGAAAAATTACAAATCGAAAATTTAAAGAAATGAAAAATTTAATCAAAATTTGAAAACTAAAAATTTGCCAGTCAACAAATTAAAAAATCCAAATTGAATGTTGCCACAGTTTTCTATGGTCTTTTTCCACAGTCGGGCAACATTAGGTTAATTTTTTATTTTAAGATTTTTCAGTTTCTCATTTTTGAAGTTCTCGATCTGTACTTTTTGGATTTTACAATTTGTTCAATTTCTCACTGTCTAGATATATTTATTAATTTTGGTTATTTCAGTTTTTCGATTTTTCAAATGTTTCATTAATTTTACAGTTTAATTTTAAATTTAATTAAATGAAAAATGGAAAAATTCTAAAATTGAAAAATTGCGAATGGGATTTTTTTTAATTATTATTATTTCATATTTAAAATGAAAACTAGAAAAATTGCAAATAAAAAATTGAAGAAACGAAAAAATGGAAAAGAAGGAATGAAAAAACCAAAAATTGGAAAATGACGAAATCGAAATCCTAAAATTGCAATTAAAATATTGAAAAATCGAAAAATTAAAAAAAATAAGAAAACCCAAAACCAAAAATTGTAAATAGAAAAATTGATACATCATAGACTGAAAAATCGAACAATTGAAAATTAAACATTTGCAAATCCACAAATTGAAAAATTTCACATTGAAAAAAAGACAAATTATTAAATCAAAACATTGAAAAACCGAAACGACCAATTTCAAATCGAAAATTTGAAGAACTGAAAAATTGAAATCCAAATATTGAAAAACTAAAAATCGAAAATTTGAAAAATCCAATAAATGAAAAAGTTTTAAAGTCCAATAATTGAAAAGACGAAGATTCTAAAATCGTAAAATTGTAAAAGTTTTTTTTTTAAATTATAATTATTAGTTCATATTCAAAATGAAAACTAGGAAAATTGCACATCAAAAATTGAAGAACCGAAAGATTGAAAAATGAAGAAATTAAAAATTCTAAAAATTGAAAAAAAAAATTTAAAAGAGAAAAACTGCAATTCAAAATGTTGAAAAACCCAAAAATTAAAAAAAAGAAAAACTGAAACGAAAAATTGAAAAATTGCAAACCGAAAATTTGAACGAATGAAAAATTGAGTCAAAATTTGAAAACTAAAAATTTGGCAGTCAACAAATTAAAAAAATCCAAATTGAATTTTGACACAGTTTTCTACGGTCTTTTTCCACAATAATTAAGAAGTGTTATGATGTAACACTTAAGTATTGGCATCCAGAAACGTTATTCGAAATTAGATGAACAAAGACGCGCCCTGACTAAGTGAATTTCATGAAATCTCCTTATCTAAACAAATCTAATGTGTGTTGTAACCAATTAACGATTAAAATCCTAACATGAACTGTGAATTTAGAAACACTGACGATGATGGGGCCAATTTATCAGGTTATCGCAATTAGATTTAAATTAGTGAAAGTAAGAGATTTAAAAGTGTTAGATCGTTTCCTTTAGGGTGACTTTATGGATATTCTGTAGAACTGATAGTGTTGTTGTTGCGCACGCAGCTTCCACGTAAACGCGGGCATGGACGGCAGCTCATTTAGCAGCCCGTTAGAATCTCCCGACGCTCCAATAACCTCCTCCGTGGCCACCTTGCAGTCTGCAGAATCGCTCTCCTTCCGTCGGCAGGTGCGTCTGTGTAGCGGTCACTGCAGCGAACCAGTAGATACCTCCTGCCTACCTGCACAAGTCCGCAACCCGCCACACGAGCCCCCCTCACTGCCCACGCAAACGTCACTGACCAAGACTCCAGACACCCCATCCGCAAACATATCCCCCCAGTCGTCGTCAGAGCAGTCTCAGGCTTTCACCTCGCATTTCACCTCCGAAAGTAGTTTGTTGCCGAAATTCCGTTTGCCCGAAGAACCGCAATCCCCCTCCGCCATCCTCACTCCGTCAACGGAGGTCTCATCCGACGCTGATGCACACAACTCTGAGGACATAGACTTTTTAAAATTTGACGAGGATCCGTGGGATATCACGAATTTCGATTACGATTTGAGTAGTCTGAACGTTGACGGGATGTCGACCAAAAGTTGCCAGTCCAATTAAAGTATAGACGAGGTTTATACTTTATAGACAATCTGACTTGAATGTGCCATCAGTGTTTTCCTTTGCTAAAGCACTTGTACCAAATCGACTGCCTCTTTCATAAGTACTTTTTATTGAACTATTTATGTCTAAATTCAAGAGATATACATACTTCGTTAGACAGTTGGTTTTATAGTAGTTAAAGTCTAGATTGAAATTATCTATATTGTTACAGAATGTAATTTATACAATTATATATTTGCAAATAAAAGCTTTAGTTATTACATTCGCTTTTTTATTTCCTTTTTGCCATTTTAGGTTGACCACCAGTTTGAATTAATCTAAACGCTGACCATTTTTCAGACTCCACAAAACATAAACGAAAATACAGAAATGCAAAAGCAAATAGACGCCCTTATAGAGCATAAGTGTAAACAGTTGAGCAAAAATAATAGCGGGAAAGGTAATGCTATTCATTTAGAAAAGTGGATGAAGGGGCAGCTCGACGCCGACATTGCTGACGAAGCAGAACTCGAACCCCTCTCCGAAGAATGGACCGAGGAAATGTTGCGCAAACGGTCGCAAGAACTACAACTGATTGACTCGCAAGGAAACATTACTTTCCGCAACGAAACGCGACGAAACGAGAGCAGATGCGACGATCTTAACCTATCTGACCACGACCAAAGTCCGTCCAAAAGTACAACCACAGAGAGTCAAGTGAGTCCACATTGTCGTCTTCAACCGTTTCTAACCTCTTCGGTTCCAGGTCACCGTGCGCTCAAGCCCCCTAGTGCCAGAAACTGTGCCAGTGTGCCGACAGTGCCATAAAAATTGCCTTCCAGCCGTAAACAACAGCGCCAAAAATGCAAACCAACCGAACAACCACAATAACACGGAAAATAGGTGTCAGAGGGACGAAAATGATAATAAGGAGGAAGACGATTGGAGGCCGTTGCTTCTGATGGGGCTAAGCGCGATTAATCCAGCCGCTAGTCTGGTCAAACTGGACCCTTTTTCCGCACCTATACCGCAGATCAACGTGGCGCCTCCTACTCCAGAGAGTTCCACCAAGACTACGAGCACCGCGGAGCAGAAGATCAGGGACGCGGCCTGCAACTGCCGCAGTAAACCCGAAGTAATTAAAGGATACGTTAATTTGGTTCCACAATTTTCAGTTTTTCTAGCGTTTAATTGAAATTTCTCAATTTTTTTGGTTTTCTAGCTTGTGAATTTTAATATTTCGATTTTTCTTTTCTTAAATTTTTCAATTTTTCAACTCCTATATGTTTTAATTCTTCGTTTTTCCTATTTTTCCAATTTTTATTTTTTCATTTTTCAATTTTTCCGTTTTTCAATTTGCAATCATCCGAGTCTTCAATCTTAGAGTTTCCAATTTTTCAAATTTTCAATTTTTCAGGTGTCTATTTAAAATTTTTCGATTTCTCAGTTTCTGGCTTTAAATTTTTCTATTTTTCGTTTTTTTTTCTATTTTTCCGTTTAAAATCTTTTAATTTTATCACTTTCCAACTTTTCGAATTTTCAGTTTCTTAATTTTTTCGGTTTTCGGTTTCCCGGTATTAAATATTTAGATTTTTTAAATTCGGGTTTTTGAATTTTTCATTTCTTGAATGTCTAGTTATTTAATTTTTCGTTTTTTAAGTTTATGTATTTGTTCGTTAATTGTTTTTTAATTTTTCCGTTTTTTCAGTTTTTGGATTTTTCCGTTTCTCGATTTTTGATTTTACGTTGTATCTATCAAGTTGATTTTTAGATTTTTTTGTTTATCGAGTTTTCAGGTTCTCGATATTTCATTTTTTCAATTTTTCGATTTGTAATTGTTCAGTTCAATTCTTGGATTTTTCAGTTTTTGGGTTTTTCAATTTCTAGAGATTTTAATTTGCAATTATCCGATTCAATCTTAAAGTTTTCAATTTTTCAAAATTTTTAATTTTTCAGGTTGTCATTTAAAATTTTTCGATTTCTCAGTTTCTTTTTGGTATTACAATTTTTGGATTTTCCAATTTTCCATTAGCAATTTTTCAAATGCTCAACATTGAATGTTTCAATTTTTCGATTTTTTAGTTTCTTCGTTTTAAATTTTTCAATTTTACCACTTTTCAACTTTTCGAATTTTCAATTTCTCAATTTTTAATTTTTTCGATTTTTCAAATTTTTGGTTCCTCAATTTTCAGTTTTTCTATTTGTAATTTTTCTAGCGTTTAATTAAAATTTCTCAATTTTTGGTTTTCTAGCTTGTGAATTCTAAATATTTCGATTTTTCTTTTCTTAAATTTTTCAATTTTTCAACTGTTATATGTTTTAATTTCTAAAAATTAAAACATATAAGAGTTTTCCTATTTTTCCAATTTTCATTTTTTCTTTTTTCAATTTTTCCGTTTTTCAATTTGCAATTATCCGAGTCTTCAATCTTAGAGTTTCCAATTTTTCAGGTTTCTATTTAAAATTTTTGGATTTCTCAGTTTCTGCCTTTAAATTTTTCTATTTTTCGTTTTTTTCTATTTTTCCGTTTAAAATTTTTTAATTTTATCACTTTCCAACTTTTCGAACTTTCAGTTTCTTAATTTTTCGGTTTTCGGTTTCCCGGTTTTAAATATTTAGATTTTTTAAATTCTAAAAAGATTTTTCAATTTCTAGAGATTTTAATTTGCAATTATCCGATTCAATCTTAAAGTTTTCAATTTTTCAAAATTTTTAATTTTTCAGGTTCTCATTTAAAATTTTTCGATTTCTCAGTTTCTTTTTGGTATTACAATTTTTGGATTTTCCAATTTTCCATTAGCAATTTTTCAAATGCTCAACATTGAATGTTTCAATTTTTCGATTTTTTAGTTTCTTCGTTTTAAATTTTTCAATTTTACCACTTTTCAACTTTTCGAATTTTCAATTTCTCAATTTTTAATTTTTTCGGTTTTCAGTTTAACAAATTTTTTCAGTTTTCTAATTTTGAAGCTTCCTATTTTTCATTTTTCAGTTTTTGGATTTTTTCGTTTCTTGAATCCTCATTTTACGTTTTGTCAAGTTTGTGATTTTTAGAGCTTTTTGTTTATCGATTTTTCAGGTTCTAAATATTTTGTTTTTAATTTTTTGAATTTTTCGATTAGTAACACTTGCTTTCTTCAATTTTTGTGTTTTTCAATTTCTGGATATTTTAGTTTGTAACCACCCGAGTCTTCAATCTTAAAGTTTTCAATTTTTCAAAATTTTAATTTTTTACGTTATCATTTTAAATTTTTCGATTTCTCAGTTTCTGGCTTTATAATTTTTCTATTTTCCAATTTTTTGATTAGCAATTTTTCAAATCCTCAACATTAAATGTTTCATTCAATTTTTCGATTTTTCAGTTTCTCGGTTTTAAATTTTTCCACTTTTCAACTTTTCGAATTTTCAATTTCTCAATTTTTTCGGTTTTCAGTTTTCCGGTTTTAAATATATACATATTTCGATTTTTGAACTTTTGAGTTTTGAATTTTTCGATTTTTCAATTTTTCATTTCTGCAATCCCTACTAATTTAAATTTTTCGTTTTTTTTAATCTTTCGATTTTTCAATTTTCCGTTATTAAGTTGTTGGATTTGTTTGTTTCTCGTTTTTTAATGTTTCGTTTTTCGAATTTTTTGATTTTCAAATTTATTTCAGTTTATGTTCATTTTGTAGCTTTCTATCTTTCATTTTTCCGTTTTTTCAATTTTTGGATTTTTTCTCGATTTTTGATTTTACGTTTTGTCAACTTTCTGATTTTTAGATTTTTTTGTTTATGGATTTCTCAGGTTCTCGATATTTCATTTTTCATTTGTTGAATTTTTCGATTCGTAATTGTTCAGTTCTTGGTGTCTTCCATTTTTGAGGTTCTGAGTTTCTGGATATTTTAATTTTTCGTTTATACAATTTTTAGTTCTTCCAATTTTTCGATTTTTAAAATTTTCAATTTCTCGTTTCTCCGTTTTAGATTTATCATTTTTTCCATTTTTCAACTTTTGGAGTTTTGAATTTCTTGATTTACCAGTTTCTTCGTTTTTAATATTCTTATTTTTCTACTTTTGGGTTTTTGAATTTTCCAATATATCAATTTTTCGTTCTTTAATTCCGACATATTTTAATTTTTCGTTTTTCCGAATTTTAAAAATTCCCGTTTCTCAATTTTGAATCTTTCGAGTTTTCAGTTTTTCAATTTTTCACTTTTTGGATTTTTTTCGTTTTTCGATTTTCGATTTTACGTTTTATTCAATGTTTGAATTTTCGGTTTCTTTAGTTTTAGATTTTTCAGATTGTCGATTTTTCATTTTTTATGTTTGGAATTTTTTGATATGCAATTTTTCAATTTTTGATGTCTTCAATTTTTGGGTTTTCGATTTCTGGACATTTTAATTTTTCATTTGTCTAATTTTATTGTTTCCTCAATTTTTCCATTTTTCGCTGTCTCGATTTGAATTTTTCAAGGGTGAAATTTAAATCTTTCAGTTTTTCAAGTTTTTGATTTTCCAGTTTTTTCAGGTTTTTTCAATTCTAGAATTTTTTGAATTTTGAGTTTTTTTCAATTTTTCAGTTACTGGTTTTAAATTCTTCGAATTTTCAGTTCCTTTATTTTTAATTTAATTTTCCAAATTTTTAACTCCTAGATATTTTAACTTTTCGTTTTTCCTATTTTTTTATTTTTCCAACTTTTATTTTTTCATTTTTCGGTTTTTCGGTTATCCAATTTGCGATTTTCCGAGTCTCCAATTTCAAAGTTTTCAATTTTCCAAATGTTCAATTTTTCGAGTTTTGGGTTTTTCATTTAAAATTTTTCAATTTTTCATTTCTTCAATTCCTAGATATTTTGATTTTTCATTTTTACAATTTTTCGAACTTTTTATTTCTCAATTTTGAATATTTCGGGTTTTCAATCTTTCATTTTTTCAATTTTTGGATTTGTTCGTTTCTGTATTTTTGATTTTTTGTTTTATCCAAATTTTGAATTTTCGATTTTTTTAGTTTTATATTTTTCAGACTGTCGATTTTTCATTTTTCATCTTTTGAATTTTTCGACATCCAATTTTTGAGTTTTTGGTTTAACCAATTTTTTAATTTTTCGATCAGCAATTTTTCAAATGCTTAACATTAAATGTTTCGATTTTTCAGATTCTCCCTTTAAAATTTTTCAATTTTTGGAATCTTCAATTTCCCGATTTTTCAGACTCTGGGTTTTTGAATTTTTCGATTTTTCAATTTTTCATTTCTTCAATTTTTAGATATTTAAATTTTTTCCCAATTATGAATATTTCCATTTTTCAATTCTCCGTTTTTTAGATTTTTGGATTTGTTCGTTTCTAGTTTTCTAATTATTCGATTTTTCAATTTTTTTTATTTTTCATATTTTTCAGTTTCTCAATTTTGAAGTTTTCTATTTTTCATTTTTCCGTTTCATCAGTTTTTGGATTTTTTCGTTTCTCGATTTTTGATTTCACGTTTTGTCAAGTTTCTGATTTTTAGTTTTTTATTGTTGATAGACTTTTTAGGTTCTCCATTTTTCATTTTTAATTTTTTTTAATTTCTGGAAATTTTAATTTTCCTTTTTTCCAATTTTTACTTTTCCATTTTTTTTCGATTTTTCATTATTACAATATTTCGAATTTTCCATTACTCAACTTCTTTTGACTTTTCAATTTTTCAGTTTTTAGGTTTCCCAATTTTTTCGTTTCTCGATTTTTGATTTTTTGTTTTATCCAGTTTTTGAATTTTCGATTTTTTAAATTTTACATTTTTTAGCTTGTCGATTTTTCATTTTTCATCTTTTGAAATAAGGAATTTTTCAGTTTTTGGTTTCTTCAATCTTTGGGTTTTTCATTTCTGGACATTTTAATTTTTCGTTTTTCTAATTTTTCGTTTTCTCAATTTTTCCATTATTCCCTTTTTCGATTACAATTTTTGGAGCGTCCAGCTTTAAATTTTTTAAAATTTAAAGTTTTAATTTTGCAATTTTTCCATGATTCAAGTTTTCGTTTCCTTCAGTCGTTCGTTTACAGTTTTTCAATTCTACAATTTTTCCAATTTTGAATTTTTTCCAATTTTTCAGTTACTGGTTTTAAATTTTTCGTTTTTTCGGTTTCTTGTTTTCTAATTTTTCGATTTTTAATTTTTCTGGAATTTTAAATTTTCTATTTTCAAGTTTCCGTTTTTTCAATTTTGCAATTTTTCAATTTCCCGATTTTTCGGTCTCTCGATTTTCCAATTTTGTTTTTATTTGATAAAATTTTGAATTTTTCTACTTTTCAACGTTTGAATTTAATTTTACAATTTTTAGATTTCTCAATTTTTAATTTTCTGATTTTTCAATTTCTCATTTATTGAATGTTTCGATTTGTACTTTTTCGATTTTACAATTTTTAAATTTCCAGATATTTTAAATGTTTTTGGTTTTCCCATATTTTCGATTTCTCCGTTTTTCGATTTTTCAATTTTTTTACTTTAATGTTACATTTTTACAATTTTCCGGTTTATAAACCTTTACATTTTTTTTTTCAATGTTTCAATTTATCGAGGTTTTCATGTTTATATTTTTAATTTTTCGATTTTTTAATTTTACAATGCAATTTTTCGACTTTACATATCATTTTTCCAATTTTTGATGTATTAATTATTCGATTTTTAATTTTTCGAATCAGTTTTACAGTTCTTTAATTTTTTAGGTTACATTTTTTAGTTTTTTCAATTTGTCAATATCTTGATTTTTCTTTTTTTTTAATTTTGCAGTTTCCCTATTTTTAATTTTTCGGCTTTACAGTTTCTCGATTTTTAATTGGCAATTTTTCGAGTATTCAATTATAATATATTCGATTTTAAACTTTTCAATCCTTAATTTTTTCTATTTTTCGCTTCTTAGTTTTACGATTTTCCGGCTTTTTCGATTTCTCAATTTTTAGTTTTATCACTGCACTTTCGCATTTCTTGAATTTTTCTATTTGTACTTTTTTTATTTTACAACTTTTCGATCAATTTTGTAATTTTTCAGTTTCTCGGTTTTTAATTTTTCTATTTTTTATTTTTTGTTGAACCATATTTTCAATTTTTCATCTTCTGGATTTGTCAATTTTGTTTTTGTTTAATTTTACAATTTTTCGATTTTTAAATTTTTGAATTAAATTATCCGATTTTTCAATTTTTTGATTATTAAGTTTTTCGCATCTTTAACTGTAGGATTTTGCAATTTTTCGCTTTTTCAGTTTTTAATTTTATGATTTTCTATTTCTATTTCTTGAGTTTTTCAATTTTTCTAGTTCTATATGTTAATTTTCCAATGTCTCTATTTTTAATTTTTCGATTTTTCAGTATTTCAATGTTTCGATTTCACAGTTTTTCAAATTTTCATTTACTGAATATTTAATTTTTTTTTATTTTCCAGTGTTTTGATTTTCCAATATTTCGTTTCTATAATTTTACGATTTCGCAATTTTCCAGTGTATTAATTTTTCTATTTTTCAGCTTTTTGATTTTCAATTTTACAATTTAACAATTTTTCAAATTTTCGCATTCTGGATATTTTAATTTTACTTTTTTCCAAAGTTTCAGTTTTTTCAGTTCCTCAATTTTCAGATTTAAAGTTTTTTGAGTATTCAATTTAAAATTCTTCAATTTTTCGATTTTTGAATTTTTCAGTTTTTCAATTTCTCATTTCTTGAATTTTTCGATTTGTACTTTTTGCATTCACTGCCAATTTTTCTATCGTAGATATTAATTGTTCGTTTCTTCCAATTTTGGATTTGTCAGTTTCTTGATTTTTAATTATTCGTTATTCCTATTTTTAATTTTTCAATTTTGTTTTTCTTCAATTCTACAATTTTTCAATTTTTAGATTTTTGAAAGTTTGAATTTAATTTTTCGATGTTTCAATCCCCTGATTTTTGAGTTTTTCGCTTCTTTAATTTTACGATATTGCAAATTTTTCGATGTATCAATTTTTTTTTAATCGAAAATCGGTCAATAAAAAAACTAACAATATTCGAATCTGCGCCAGTTTGAATTTGCCGCCACTGTAATCATCTCTGATTGGTCGCCACACATTCTCTTAATCCATCCTCATAATTAAAACCCCACCCTAACCAACCATTTTCTTCCAGCTCAACAACCTGGACTTATCAAACGAAGTCGACATCTCCCCCGACGACTCCCCCCAAACTGAAGAACATCCATATCACTCCCTAAGTAGCTCTAACCTAACTCTTCGAAGATTCGGCACCGTCTCCAGCCTAGAACGCCTAGGAACCGACGAACACGAAGACAACTGGGACGACCGATGCTCGTCCGAAGACGAAAACCAGGAAGAAAAAGGAATAGACAACGAAGCGTTCTACCACTCTTCGATCAGAAGCTGGACAGCGAAAGCGGGGTCCTTCGTGGCAGAGAAAATGTCTTTTTTCGAACGTTTAGGGGAAGACTACAGAAACACGGGAAAATTTTTTGAAAGGTTTGACTCTTCAGCAAACTATTTTTGTTTTTTGATTGTGGATTTCAGGTATTTGAAGACTGCGGAAGCCACTGTTAACGGAGAAGATTTGCAGGAGGACGAAACGTCGGGGGCGACTTCGGGTGAGGAGATTTGGGGAACGCCTACTAGTGGTGGGGAGATGGAGGACCCTTTGAGTTCGCCTAACTACGAAGGGAAACAATCGGTATGGTGTTCAATTGTTGTCTGTTATCAATGGTAAAAGTGATTTGATAATTTTTAGCCTTATGATGGTTCTATATCGTCTGACAATGGTGACGACACCGAGTTGATGATGGACGAGCTTCTGATGACCCCACCTATCAGCGGAGCCATAATGCGGGGTCTCCTTCCCCGGCGGACCCTCGAGCCCCTCATCGAGGAGGACTGCTCCGAGAGCTGCTCCCCCAGCTCGTCGGGGACCCCCACCGAGCCTTCCGTGTCCCCAGAACAGGTAAATATTTAGAAAAATTGAGTCCCCCAGCTGTGTTCAAGTATGGAGTTTCAATATAATTTTTGCTTACATTGTGGGCAGGGCAACGGAACTGGAGATGTTGCTGACACATGTTCGACTGCTGTAGAAAACAAGATCGGGACGCCAAATCCAGGAAGGACGGGAATGGGATCAGCTGTGACGTCGGGGACGACTGTTGTTCCGAAGATGCATCGGTCCGAAAGCTACCGGCGGATCATCGAAGCCGCGGAGGACGACGAAGAGGACAGTCTGGGCTTTTTCAACCGGTTCAAGCCAACAGTGAAATTCATAAATATTGAGCGAGTACCTAGGGCAAAGAGCGTTAAAATGTAAGACGCTGGCGGTTGAATGATGTTTGAATTGACTCAACGGTTTCAGTTTTGAGTTTTTCAACATGCGGAGGGGTAGAATCCACCAGACCATCCCAGAAGGTAGACAATTAATTAAAATATTTAGTAAAGAGGGTACAGTTTCAGATAATGTTCCTACGTCTTATTCAGAGAAGCCTCTGTCTCCCAGACGACTAAAAGTAGGTGAGGGTGTTCGATTGGGCTTTGTGAATAGGTGCTTTTTGCAGGATAAGCAGATGGACCGACGGTTTTGGAAACAGTTGAGCAGACGTCGCGGCAACAAAATGGCGAATTTGCCGGCCTAAATTTTTCTCAAAAGTTCTCACTGATCACAGTTTCGTCATTTCAAGCTCAACTCACGTGATATTGGTGCTTTGGATATAATGTGCAAACGTTTCTCGATTATCAAAAGTTTTGCTATTAACTAATTTTGGCTTAATCATTGGCACTAACAATAGTTGTTATTGTGTAAATAGCTTGAAACGTTATTCAATTTTTATAAACTATTTACTATAGTTAAACTAAAGAGCATCGTTTCTATTGAAAGTATTTTAGTCGTAGGAATCGATTTAAAGCAGGGGGTGTAAAGTAGCTAAAAGAAATCCGTCACATTACATTTGTGATAATTACAATTTTGTATATTGTTGAAAATAAACTTTAAAAACTAACTTTATTGCCAATTTTTACACGACCTGACTCCCCTAAACTCCCCAAATCAAGCAAAAAAAAGAACGAAAAAATTATCCACCAGTTGAAAATGATAGCAAATCTTTTTTTCTTTCTCTTTAAGAGTTCCTCAACTTCGACTATCGTGATCTCGGTTTTAGTCCCCTCTTCCCCTCTGACAAGGTGTCTTAATTGTAATCAATTTTTTTATTTTCGAATAATCCGTTTTTCCCAATTTTCCGAATTTTCGCTTTCTGAATATTGTTGTCGGATTTTTCAATTTCCCGATTTTTATTTGTTTAATTTTTCAGGTATTCGCTTTTTTACTTTTTTTAATTTATTCGATTTACAGTTTTCCAAGTGTTCAGTTTTATATGTTTCAAGTTTTCATTTTTAAGTTCTTGATATTTAATTTTTCGTTTGTACCTATTTTCGATTTTTTGTTTTTCTGTTTTCAATTTTTTTTAATGTTGACAATTAAGCGATTTTCGATTGATAAACGTCTAAATTTTTAATACATTTAATTTTTCAAAGTTTACATTTTTCGATTTTTTATTATATCATGCAATTTTTAATTTTTCAGTTTTTATATTTTTAAATTTTTGAATTTTTCAATTTTACGATTTTAAAATTTTTCGCTTTTACAATAATTTTCCGATTTTACAATTGTTCGATTCTTAGGTTCTCGATTTTTTAATTTTTAATTTTATTAATTTTTCGACTTCCAATTTTTCAAGTAAGTATGTATTCAATTTAAAATTTTTCAAATTTTTTGTATTTTGAATTTTTCAATTTTTTATTTCATCAATTTTGTGATATTTCAGTATCTAAATTATATTAATTTTTCGTATTCCCTACTGTTCGAGTTTTCAGTTTCCCAATTTTTAATTTTTCAATTTTATATTTTTCGTTCCTCAGTTTTTAGATTTATTAATTTTTAATTTTTCAATTTTACGATTTTCGAATTTGTCGTGCTTTTAATTTTACGACTTTATAATTTTTCAATTTTTCAGTGTTTCAATTTTTTTTTTCGATCTGGCTGCTTTTAGATTTTTAATTTTTCGATTTACAATTTTTCAAGTATTCAATTTCAAATTTTCAGTGTTTCAGTTTATTATCTTTCGAATTTTTCAATTTTTTATTTCGTCAATTTTTCGATTGTCCAGGTCCTAGATTATGTAAATTTTTCATTTTTTCAATTTTTGGGTTTTTCAGTTTATCGATTTTTAGTTTTTCGGTTTTTAATTTTTTGTTTTTTAGATCCTTGATTTTCAATATTTCATTTCCTCTGTTTTTCGATTTTTCAGTTTCTTAATTTTCTGTTTTCCACATTTTTCAATTTTTTAGTTTCTCAATTTTTTTTCTTTAATTACACAATTTTTCGACAACATTTTCTTCATTTTCAATACTTAGATTTTTCAATTTTTGATGTGATTGTTGGTTTCCTCGATTTTCATTTTTTTAATGTTTCCGGTTTACATTTTTTTTCTTGTATTCCAATTTTTCGAATTCTTACCTTCTGGGTATTTTCATTTTTCGTTTCCTAATCTTTCAATTTTTAATTTTTTGGAATTTTAAATTTTCCATTTTTGAGTTTTTCGTTTTTTTTTAATATCTCGATTTTTCAGTTTTTCGATTTTCAGTTCTTCAATTTTTCAATTAATTAATTTGTTTAATTTTTCGGTTTGCAATTTTTCAAGTATTCAATTTAAAATCTATCATTATTTCGATTTTTCACTTCGTCAATTTTTTGATTTTTTAATTTTTAGACTTCCTAATTTTTCGTTTTGTCATATTCCCATTTTTCAGTTTCTCGATTTTTCAATTTTGTGTTTCTTAATACAATTTCTCAATTTTTTATTTTTGCATTTTTCGTTTTTCACTATTCCGATTTTTCATTTTCTCAATTTTTGATTTTTCTATTTTTCAGTTTTTTCGAGCTTGCAATTTTTTTTCGTTAATTTTACAATTAGGCAATTTTTGATTTTTAAACATTTGAATTTTTCATATTTTCAATTTTTTAATTTTTCCAGTTCCCAATGTTTCCAATTTTCTCTTCTTCGATTTTCCAGTTTGTCGATTTTTTAATTTTTGATATTTATTATTGTTTTTTGCAATTTTCCATTTCTTCAATGTTTTCATTTTTTAACTTTTGAATTTTTCAGTTTTATTTCGTCGATTTTTCGGTTTTTGCACTTCTAGTTATTTATGTTTAATTTCTTGTTTTTTCAATCCTTCGTTTTTTCAGTTTTTCAGTTCCTAATTTATTAGATTTTTTAATTTTTTTAAGTTTTTAATTTATCGTTTTCCAGATTTTCAATTTTCCAGTGCCTCGATTTTTTTTTAATTTTACAATCATTAAGCAATTTTTCATTTTTAAACTTTTGAATTTTTCGATTTTTTAATTTTACAATCCATTTTTCGACTTTTCAGTTTGTCGTTTTTATAATTTTTGATATTTTAATTATTGTTTTCTTCAATTTTTTATTTATTTGATATTTTGGCTCACAATTTTTTCAGTTTCTCTATTTTAAATTTTTCGTTTTTTTAGTTTCTCAATTTTTTAAGTAATGAATTTTTCTCAATTTTACTACCCCTATTTTTCGTTTCTTTAATTTTACGATTTTACAATTTTTCGGTTTTTCAATTTCTAGAATTCCAAATTTTTCGTTTTTTCAATTTTTCCGTTTTTCAGTTTCACGATTTTTCAATTTCGTGTTTCTTAATTTGTTATTTTTTGAGATATTCATTTTTCGTTTTTCACTTTTCCGATATTTCAGTTCTTAATTTTTGGTTTCTATATTTTTCAGTTTCTCGAGTTTTCAATTTTTTTTCTTTAATTATACAGTTAAGCAATTTTTCGATTTTTAAACGTTTGAATTTTTCATATTTTCAATTTTTTCAATTTTTTCAGTCCCCAATGTTTCCAATTTTCAATTTTTCGATTTTTTAAATTTTACAGTGCAATTCTTCGATTTTTCAATTTTTGGTATTAAGACCCACCACTGACCCGGAAATGACCGGTATTCAGGCAAGACTTCTATCATTACGGGTACTAAGACCAAGTAATGATATGCATTGATTAGATATTTATTATTGTTTTTTGCAATTTTCCATTTCTTGTTATTTTGGGTCACAATTTTTCAATTTTTCAGATTTTCGATTTTTAATTTTTAATTTTTTTAATTTTTCGATTCACAATTTTTCAAGTTTCATTTGCAAATTTTTCAATGTTTTCATTTTTTAACTTTCGAATTTTTGAGTTTTTATTTCGTCCATTTTTCGGTTTTTGTACTTCTAGTTACTTGTGTTTAATTTCTTGTTTTTTCAATCCTTCGATTTTTCAGTTTTTCAATTCCTAATTTATTTGATTTTTTGATTTTTCGTTTTTCATTTCCTTGATTTTTAAGATTTCCTTTCTCCATTTTCGTCTATTCAAATTTTGGATTTTCCAGTTTCTTAATAGTTTTCCAGATTTTCAATTTTTCAGTGCCTCGATTTTATTTTATTTTTTTTTAAATTAAATTTCAATAAGCAATTTTTCATTTTTTACACCTTTGAGTTTCTCAATTTTTCGATTTTTTAATTTTACAATCCAGTTTGTCGGTTTCGTAATTTTTGATATTTTAATTATTGTTTTCTTCAATTTTTGATTTATTTAATATTTTGACTCACAATTTTTCGATTTTTCTCTATTTTAAATTTTTCGATTTTTCAGTTTCTCAATTTTTGAAATATTGAATTTCTCAATTTTACCATTTCCCAATTTTTCGTTTCTTTAATCTTACGATTTTACAAGTTTTCGGTTTTTCAATTTCTAGGCATTTCAATTTTTCCTTTTTTCGATTTTCCGATTTTTTGGCTTCTTGCTTTTTCATTTTTCATTTTTCAGTCACTCTATTTTTAATTTTTCGATTATTAATTTCAATTTTTAATTAGTATTAATTTTTTGTTTTTCCAGTTTTTCGATTTTTTAGTTTCTTAAGTTTTCGTTTCTCCATATTTTCCATTTTTCAGGTTCTCGACTTTTCGTTTTTTTAATATTACGACGCAATTTTTCTAGTTTTTTTTTTAATATTTATTTTGTATATATTTTTCTTTTATTGTTCAACTCTACAATTATTTGTTGACCTGTCTATTTCATCTTTTGATCTATCATTTTAAGTTTTCTTTCTTTCAGTTTTTCAATTATTAATTTTAATTTTTAATAATATCAATTTTTCGATTTTTCAGTTCCTGAATTTTTCAATTGATGTTTTTTTTTTCACTCAATTACTTTAAATGTTTTCTATTTTTGGGCTTTAGAATTTGTCGTTTCTTTAATTTTTCAATTTTGCATTTTTTGTAGGTTGAAATTGTTCAGTTTTTTATTTTTTCGATTTTCCAATTTTTAGACTTTTGAATGTTGGAATTTTAGCAATTTTTTTCGATTTTTCAATTTTTCAATTTTATAATGCAATTTTTCTAGTTTTTTGAAATTAATTTTTAATTTCTTCAATTTTCCGACCGTACAATTATTTGATTTGTCAATTTCGAATATTCTAAATTTTTTTTTTCAAGCAAATATGGATTTTGCAATTATGGGGCAAAACCTAATGGCACAATGGATATTTCTTTATACAAATTTTTCATTTAAACATGTTTCACGTTAAGGGAAGAAGTCAAAATGTAGGCCCGCCCACCCGCCCTGTCTCAAATGTGATGATTTTTTTTATTCGCCGTGAGCTAATGGGGCGAATATAAATATATTCGCCCCATTTTCGACCATTTTCGAAACTTAACTAACCAAATACATTTTGTTGTAGATTTCGAGCTCTGCAACTCACTTTCGGCATCCCTTTTCTATATCTTAAACCGTTTTTCCAGTTTCGGCCACTAAATTATAGCAGATTTTGGAGTTTTCCAAAAAGTTGCTTTTAAAACCGAATATTTCAAAAATGTTTTTCCTTTTTTCAGTTTTTCGATTTTTCATTTTACAATTTAACGATATTTAGCCGTTTGGATTATTCGACTGTTCAATTTCCCGATTTTTAAATTTTTCGATTTTAGGATTTTGGGCTATTTCGATTTCTCGATTTTTCAACTTTTCGACATTTCGATGTATAGATAGATCTATAGATTTTCCAATTTTTCGTGTTTTTAATTTAGCGATTTTTGAATTTCTCGTTTTTTTTAGTTTCTCGATTTTAAAATTTTCAATTTTTCAGGCTCTGCAGTTGCAATTTTTATTTTTTTTTTAATTTTTCGATTTACAATTTTTCATCTATTCAATTCCAAACGTTTCAATGTTTTGGCTTTTTAACTTTTGAATTGTTCAATTTTTCATTTCGTTAATTTTTCGTTTTTTCAGTTCTTCGATTTTTCACTTTCTTCATTTTTAATTGTTCGTTTATCCCTATTTCCGCTTTTGCGGTTTTACCATCTTTGAGACTCTCAATTTTTTTGTTTTTCCATATTTTCCGTTTCAGTTTCTCGATGTGTCTTTAATTTTATAATTAGGCAAATTGTACGATTTTCCAATTTTTCGTTTTTTCAATATTACAATTTTCCATTTTTTTTTAAATTAATAATTTCACGGTTTTTTGGCTTCTCGATTTTTCACATTGCTGGTTTTTAGTTTCTCCATTTTGAATTTTTCAATTTCTCAGTTTATCGTATCTTTGATTTTACGATTTATTAGCAACATTTCAGTTTGTTTTTCAGTTCTGGATTTTTCAATTTTCCCTTTTTTTAAATCAATGATTTTACAATTTTTCGATTTTTGAGCGTTGGAATTGGTCTATTTGACAATAGTTTTCAAAACCCTACTGGTGTTTTATTTTCGGATAAATTTAAAGAAATCTGGTGTTTAGTTGCTGGATGAACTTGAAAAAATCTTTTGAGTTTTTAGTGTTTTATTTTTTATCAAATTGAAAAAATTCATGAGTGTCCCAGTGTTTTTTTTTTAATTCGGGGGACTCTTGATGCATTATTTTGGGAGCCCATAAAGAGTTTTTTTTTGTAAATTATGTATTTAAAATAATTTTGGGGGACTATTTTTGGACAATTTTGACCTGACCTGTTTATGCGTTAATTTTAGGACCCCGTTTTTTTTTTGAAAGTGCGTTAGAGCCTCTAGTGCCTTTTTTTATAATAATTTAATTAAAGTTCTTAGAGGATACGTCATTTGCTAAAATCAGTCTTAGCAGGTACTAACCCCACCCACCCGCCTTCTCTTTTTCTGAAGGGTACCTCATTTGCCGAAATCACTCTTATCTTAGCAAGTACTGATCTGCCCACCCTCCCTCTGTTTTCGTACAAGACGTCTCAGCTGCCAAAATCAGTTTTATCTTAGCAGGTACTAGCCCCACCCACCCACCCTGTCTTTTCTTGTAGGATATGTCATCTGCCAAAATCACTCTTATTTTAACACTTACATTTTTTAATAATTCAATTTGTGGTCTCAATTTTTACATGATCTCGATTTTCAAATTTTTCATTGTTCAATTATTCGTTTTTAAATTTTTCCATTTTCCAATTCTTTTTTGATTGTACAAATTTTTCAGTTTTTGATTTTGGAATTTTTAGATTTCTGAACGTGTAAATTTTTAAATTTTTATTTTTTATATTTTTCTGTTTTTGTAGTTTTCAACTTTACGGTACAATTTTTGGTGTTTTTTGCTGTTTGAGATTTGTTTTAATATCAATTTTTCATTTCTACAATTTCCCGAGCCTACAATTTTTTGGTTTGTCAATTACGGAATATTTTGCTTTTTATTTTTTCCATTTTTCAATTATCAATTTTAATTTTTGATTTTTCAGTTCGTTGATTTTGAATTTTTTCAATGTTTCGATTTTAATTGCAAAAATAAACTCTCAAAACTACCTTTATTACCAATTTTTACAGACTTCACACCCCTGCAGCCCCTTTAAAAGTTCCTCAACTTCTCCAATCGTGATCTCTGTTTCAAAGAACTTCTGCCCCTCTTTCCCCCCCTGACAAGGTATCTTGATAGTAATCTTGTCGCTCTTCGTCTGTCCGTTCGCCTTCGCCTGGTTCCATATATTCTTCCACAAAACGTCCTTCTGATTCTGCTTCGCCTTCGACACGATCTTCAAAAACTCTTGCTTCCCTACAAACTCCCGTTACTCAAACCCTCCGAAACACACATCCTCACCTAAAGCCTCTCCTGGTTCGACATTATGGTGCGCCGACTCCTTCCTCCACGACGACAACTTCGGATTCACGTACGACACATCAATATTCTTCTTCTCCTCCCTCCTTTGATGCGATTTAACCTTCTCGCCACTCTTCTGCGCAAACTCCGGAAGCACCGGCCCGAAGCTAACTTTCTCGCGCTTGGGGTAATCGTCAGTCAAAAATTTCGCCTTGGGGTCGATCTGCGCGTTAAACACCTTGGTGTTCATGCGCTTCATGAACTTCTTCAGGTGCTCGGTGTCGTACTTTTCGCTTTTGACCGACCCCTTGAGCTTGGTGGTTTCGGCCGAGCTTTTGTCGCTGAGGGCGAGCTTGCTGAGGATGTCGGTCAGAAGAGTGACGATGCGGTTTTTGAGGTCGGCGCCGGGTCTGAGGACTTCTTCGCCCCATTTCCAGACGTAGCCCCCGTAGGCTATGTGGTCGTCGGTGAGGGTGGATTTGTCGTTCTTGGTGAGTCTGCGGCGGTAGGTTACGTTGGTGTTGCAGCACTGGATGCTCTTGCTTAAGTGACGGGTTTTTTCGATAGGTTTGGGACTAGGTGGTTTTTGGGGTTTCTTTTTGTCGCGACAAGGCATGGAAATGTCGCTTCTGGATTTGAAGATTTTCGGGGAGAAGTTTGTGACCATTTTGGTTATAATTTTTTTGAAGTAGTCTTTCGGGACGACGCGTTCTTCCTGAGCTGCGAGTCGTTCCTCTAGGAGCTTCACACGGTTGGAGAGGTGTTTGATGTAGGCTGATTCGTCGGCTTTAGGTTTCCAGTTTTCGACATTGGCAACGTCGACTTTGGTGCGTTTTTTTCTGGTGAAGAAGGAAGAGTGTTGGGACGGGGATGGCGATTCGCTTAGTTCGTTGAGGAGGGGGTGCTTTTGGCATTCCATGAGTAACCCGACGATGCCACAGTTTTCGCATAGACACCTCCCTTCGACTTTATCGCCTTTTCCTAGAACGTTGTCTCGGTTCTTGGAGAGGATAAGGGACCTGAGGTCGTGCGGTGCCTCCATTCGGTATACCGCTGGACTCACTCTATGTGGTATTTGACTAGTTTGTGGACTCAATCGACTCGGTTTCTTCCTTCTCGAGTACATGTATTCTTCCGAAGCTGTAGCGTCAAACGTCGTCTGACTAATCACCAGATTGATGTCTTGCATATCCGTGATTCTGGTTTCCACGTTCTTCAACGATCTTCGGATTTCGCAAAATAGAGGTTCCACAGACTCAGCGATCCCTATGAAGTCTTTTCGTTCCAAATCATCTACCGGAGCCGTGGGGGAAATCCGGTCCCTATATTTAGGAAACTGTTTCCTGAAGGGTTGACGATGATTGCTAAACTCGTCGTGTTTGCGTATCTTGATAATAGTATCGTCGTCCTTCAACTTATCCATGACCTTCTGCTTCTTCCTTCTTTGTTTCTCCATCGAAGAAATCAACTTGCGTACTTCGTCCGCTCGTAGCGTGTTCGTCCTATGGGTACCGAACGCCTCGAACTCCTTGGGCTTGACCACGGTCACATCCAACAAAGCCGAACGACATCTTTCAGGGTTAGACAATATCTTCTTGGAAGCAGGGTCCACTTGGACCTCCAGACAAAGCTCCACATCCTCTCCCATCTCGACCAGACGAAACGACGCAAAACATTGAACACCAACACTTAACGACGTGAATTTGAACAGCTTTCATTGCTACATATTCAGAATTTTGCTTGGAATTTATCTAGCCGAACGCCAAAAAGAAAACGTCACTTAATTTCCGTGACGAAATTAGTCAACTTGTCAAACAATTGACGAAAACTTGACAATTCGTGGTTTGAAACTTGAAATTAGCGTGAAAATGTCGATCGACACGTCGTGTTTCACCCTGCCTCCGGAGAAAGGTAAATCTCGAACCTGGCAATCCGTCACTGAGTGCGGTGTTTCAGAGAGCGGAGGCGGCGAAATGAGCCGCTGCAAGCCGCCGCCGTCGGGCGGCTCCAGCTCGGCGCACTTGATCGTCTCGGAGATCATGTGCGAAATCGTCGACAACGCCTTCGAAGTCATCATGGCGAAGAGCCTCCAGGTAACTATACCCCGACTCGACTCTCCCTCACGCCGGTTTTGCAGCCTCCCAAAGTCGACAAGATCACTCCAAACGTCGTCGGTGACATTTTGGAAAATATCCTCGCGCCGGCATCGACCGGGGTGTCAAACGAGAGCTACCGTCATGACGAAACCGCCTTGCTAGACGACGAAATCAAGCAGATTATCAAAGAGATGAAATACCCGCCCGAGCAGAAGAGTATCATCTGCACGCAAGGCGTGGGGGATCAACTGGGGGACAAGACCGAAGTGGCGCCGGATAGAGTGTTGGCAGAGCCGGTTAAACGCAACACGCTGGAGAGGAAGAATCGCCTGACGAACCTGGTGCGGAACTCCAAGCAGATGCTGTCCAAGCTGGTGGCGGCCGAAAACGAGAACGAGGTGAGGATGACCAAGTCGGAGGAGATCCACGAGAAGCTGCTGAAGGTGATCGATTTGGAGGGGGACGAGCATTTCGTGGAGCCGGGGAGCAGCGGCGCTTCGGGGATCCTGCACATGCCTTTCGAGGCCGGGATGGACATGGTGGATTTGAGAAGCAGCGGGCCGTTCGAGGGCGAGGAGGCGAGTGGGACTGACGCCACGGTGGTGGTAGACGACAGTTCTGTCAGTAAAATAGAGAAGAAGGGTTTGGGTGCGCACAAGAAGAAGTGGAATTTTGGGGCGAAAATTATGAGATACATCAAGAGGAACAAGGATGACAAGAAATGAGAGGAGTAGCTGCGATTACACATTTACAGGTTTTTTCAATTTTCATGTATTAAATTATTTATAGATTTTTCCAAATGTAATAAACTTTTTCTATGTAATGGAGGTTTTTTTTTGTTAGGTGAGTCAGTCTTTCAGGTCAGGTTTAAAAGTCATTTTTTATAAATTACAAAAATTGCGATTTTACAATGGGCGATTCTAGAAAAACGGTTTAAGTTATCGAAAAAAGTTAAGTTTGGAAAATGGTTGAAAATGGGCCGAAATTTGAAAAAGTTTTCCAATTTTTCGATTTTCCAATTTCCCGATTTTTCAGTTTTTCCATCTTTTAATTTTTATTTTTACAACTTTCCGATTCACAAATTTTCAATGTTTTGAATTTCTAACTTTGAATTTTTATTTTTTTTATTTCGTCAGTTTTTGGGTTTTTGCATTTCTAACTTATGTCAATTTGCTGTTTTTTCAATACTTCGATTTTTCAGTTTCTCAATTCCTCAATTCTCCATTTTTGATTGTTTTATTTTTGGTTTTCAGTTTCTTGATTTTTAATTTTTATTTTTCTTTTATCGTTATTTTCGTTTTTTAGTTCATCGAATTTTCAGTTTCTGATTTTTTTATTTTGTATTTTTCGTTTTCAGTTCCTCGATATTTCATTTTTTTTCCTTAATTTTACAATAATTTGGAATTATTAAAATTTTCATTTCCTCAATTCTTGGATTTTTCAGTTTCTTGATTTTTTATTTTTTGATTTTTTCGTTTAGCGTTTTTTAATTGTCCCCTTTTAGGTTTCTTAATTTTTAGTTTTTCTACAATTATTTGAATTTTCAATCTTTCTCAATTTTTCAGTTACTAGTTTTAAATTTTTCGATTTTTCAGTTTCTTGAATTCTAATTTTTCGAATTCTTGCTTCTTGAGTATGTACAATTTTCGTTTTTCCAATATCTTGATTTTTTAATTATCCGATTTTTCATGTTTTCGATTTTTAATTTTAATTTGTTTAATGTTTCGATTTGCAATTTTTCAAGTGTTCAGTTTCAAATTTTTCATTATTTAATTTTTAACCTCTGTAGTTTTCAATTTTCACTTCGCCAAGTTTTCGATTTTTCAATTTCTACGAATCCAAATTTTTCTTTTATTCAATTTTCCCACTTTACAGTTGCTCGATTTTTCAATTTTGTGTTTTCTTAACACAGTTTCTCAATTTTTTATTTATTGGCTTTTTTTTCGTTTTTCACTCTTTTTTTCAATTTTTTAACTTTTTCATTTTTTTCGGTTCCCAATGTTTCCATTTTTCAGTTTTTCGTTTTTTTGATTTTACAATGCAATTCTTCGAACTTTCAGTTTGTCGATTTTTTAATTTTTGATGTTTTAATTATTGTTTTTTTTTCAATTTTCCCTTTCTTTGGATGACTATTTTTCAGTTTCTCTATTTTCAATTTTTCGATTTTTCAGCTTCTTCATATTTAATTTTTAGTTTTGCAATTTTTCGAATTTCAGTTGAAAAGTTTTTAGTTTTTGGATTTTTCAATTTTACGATTGTACAATTTTTCGATTTTCCAATTTCCCGATTTTTCAGTTTTTCCATTTTTAAATTTTTATTTTTACAACTTTACGATTCACAATTTTTCAAGTATTCATTTACAAATTTTCATTGTTTTGAATTTCTAACTTAGAAATTTTATTTTTTTTTATTTCGTTAGTTTTTCGGTTTTTGCATTTCTAATTTATGTCAATTTCTTGTTTTTTTAGTCCTCCGATTTTTCAGTTTCTCAATTCACCATTTTTGATTTTTTTAATTTTGGTTTTCAATTTCTTGGTTTTCCTGCTTTTCGATTTATCAGTTCCTTATTTTGTCGTTTTTCCATATTTTCTATTTTTTTCAGTTTCTCCATTTTTACATTTTTGTTACAATGAATATATATTTTTCCTGTTTTTCTTAATGTATTAGTATTCTTTGAACAAGACGATACTCAAAAACATATTTTTAATTTCTTGTAAACAAGTAAGTATTTTGCAGTTAAGCTCCACCCCCTTGGCTGACGACGAATAAAAAAAATCATCACATTTGAGGAAGGGCGGATGGGCGGGCTTATATTTATTCTTTTTGTTTGGATATGTATAGACTTCTTTTCACAACATGAAACTTAAAACATGTTTAAAATGGAAAATTTGTATAAGGAAATATCGATTGTGCAATTAGGTTTTGCCCCATTATCCCAAATTCCGTATTTCCTTGCAAAAATGTACAATTTTAACCATGTCTCACGTTTCGTGTTGTGAAAAGAAGGCCATGTACATTAAGAAAAAAAAGGCAAACTATAAGCCCCGCCCACCCGCCCTATCTCAATTCTGATGATTTTTTTATTCGTCGTGAGCTAAGAGGGTGGAGCTTAACTGCAAAATACTTACTTTTTAAAAGAAATTAAACTTAAGTAATCGTGTTATACAAAGAAAACTCAATGTATTACTTAAAAAAGAAAACCAAAAGAGAAGTCCCACCCGTTCCTCTCGATCTCAATCGTTATGAACTTTTCATTCGTTGTCAAATCGGGGAGCGGAGCGTAATTGCAAAATTGATATTTCCCATTCCCTATACAAATTTACCGTTTTAAACAGGTTTTAAGTTTCTTGTTGTGAAAAGATGACTACACATATTAAGAAAAAAAAGGCAAAATGTAAGCCCGCCCACCCGCCCTGTCTCAAATGTGATGATTTTTTTTATTCGTCGTGAGCCAAGGGGGCGAAGCTTAATTGCAAAATCTGTATTTCCCTACAAAAATTTACCATTTTAAACGTGTTTTAAGTTTCTATCAATAAAAAAAATCATCACAATTGAAATAGGGTGGGTGGGCGGGGTTTATATTTTTCTTTTTCTTCTTGATGCACATAGTATTCTTTGAACATCAGGCTACTCAAAAACATGTTTTTAATTTCTTTAAAGAAGTAAGTATTTTGCAGTTATGTTCCGCCCTCTTGGATGACGACGAATAAAAAAATCATCTCAATTGAGATAGGGTGGGTGGGCGGGGTTTATATTTTTCCTTTTCTTCTTGATATACATAGTATTCTTTGAACAACAAGCTACTCAGAAACATGTTTTTAAGTTCTTTAAGGAAGTAAGTATTTTGCAGTTATGTTCCGCCCTCTTGGATGACGACGAATAAAAAAATCATGACAATTGAGATAGGGCGGGTGGGCGGGCTTACATTTGGCTTTTTTTTTAATATGTGTAGACTTCTTTTCACAACATGAAACTTAAAGCCTGTTTAAAATGGAAAATTTGTATAACGAAATATCAATATTACAATTAAACTCCACCCCAAGGTCGCAAAATCCATATTTCCTTGCAATTATAACCATAAGTTTCGTGTTGTGAAAAGATGACCATGTATACTAAGAAAGAAAAAGCAAAATATATCCCCGCCCACCCGCCCTATCTCGATTCTGATGATTTTTTTTATTCGTCGTCAGTCAATGGAAGCTTAACTGCAAAATCCATGTTTGCCAATGAGAAACTACCATGTGAAATATGTTCTTAAGTAATCGTGTTATACAAAGAAAACTAAATATATTACTTAAAAAAGAAAACCAAAAGAGAAGTCCCACCCGTTCCTCTCGATCTCAATCGTGATGAACTTTTCATTCGTTGTCAGATCGGGGGGCGGAGCGTAATTGCAAAATCGATATTTCCTATTCCCTATACAAATTTATCGTTCTAAACAGGTTTTAAGTTTCTTGCTGTGAAAAGATGACTATACATATTAAGAAAAAAAGGCAAAATGTAAGACCGCCTACCCGCCCTGTCTCAAATGTCATGATTTTTTTTTATTTGTCGTGAGCCAAGGGGGCGGAGCTTAATTGCAAAGTCTGTATTTCCCTACAAAAATTTACCATTTTAAACGTGTTTTAAGTTTCTATCAATAAAAAAAATCATCACAATTGAGATAGGGTGGGTGGGCGGGGTTTATATTTTTCCTTTTCTTCTTGATATACATAGTATTCTTTGAACAGCCGGCCACTCAAAAACATGTTTTTAATTTCTTTAAAGAAGTAAGTATTTTGCAGTTATGTTCCGTCCCCTTAGCTCACCACGAATAAAAAAAATCATCACAATTGAGACAGGGCGGGTGGGCGGGCTTTCATTTTGCCTTTTTTTTCAAATTTCTGTGGGCTTCTTTTCACAACATGAAACTTAAAACATGTTTAAGATGGAAAATTTGTATAAGGAAATATCGATTTAACAATTAGACTCCACCCCATAGTCGCAAAATCCATATTTCTTTGCAAAAATGTATCATTATAACCATGTTTTAAGTTTCGTGTGGTGAAAAGATGGCCATGTATATTAAGAAAAAAAAAAGCAAAATATACGCCCCTCCTCTCGCCGTATCTCAATCGTGCTGAATTTTTCATTCGTTGTCAGACCAAGGGGCGGAGCCTAATTGCAAAATCCGTATTTCTCTACAAAAATTTACCATTTTACTTGTGTTTTAAGTTTCTAAAAACGAAAAAAATCATAATTGAGATGGGGTGGGTGGGCGGGGTTTATATTTTTTCTTTTTTTCTTGATGTACATAGTATTCTTTGAACAACACGATACTCAAGCATGTTTTTAATGTCTTGTAAAGAAGTATTTTGCAGTTAAGCTCCACCCCATTGGCTAACGATGAATAAAAGAAATCATCACAATTGAGATAGGGTGGGTGGGCGGGCTTACATTTTGCCTTTTTCTTCTTACGAGGTGTAGACTTCTTTTCACAACATGAAACTTAAAACATGTTTAAGATGGAAAATTTGTATAAGGAAATATCGATTTTTCATTTAGACTCCACCCCACAGTCGCAAAATCCATATTTCTTAGCAATTATAACCATGCTTTAAATGTGAAAAGATGGCCATATATATTAAGAAAAGAAAAAGGCAAAATATAAGCCCCGCCCACCCACCCTATCTCAATTCTGATGATTTTTTTTATTCGTCGTGAGTCAATGGAAGCTTAACTGCAAAATCCATATTTGCCTATGTGAAATTACCATGTGAAGTCCCACCCGTCCCTGTCGATCTCAATCGTGATGAATTTTTCATTCGTTGTCAGACCGGGGGGCGGAGCGTAATTGCAAAATCGATGTTTCCCATTCCCTATCCAAATTTACCGTTTTAAACAGGTTTTAAGTTTCTTGTTGTGAAAAGATGACTACACATACTAAGAAAAAAAGGCAAAATGAAAGCCCGCCCACCCGCCCTGTCTCAAATGTGATGATTTTTTTATTCGTCGTGAGTTAAGGGGGCGGGGCTTAACTGCAAAATACTTACTTTTTACAAGAAAGACCTACATATATATTTTGTCTTTTTTTCTTCATATACATAGTATTCTTTGAACAATACGATACTCAAACATGTTTTTAATTTCATGTAAAGAAGTATTTTGCAGTTAAGCTCCGCCCCTTTGGCTGACGACGAATAAAAAAAGTCATTACAATTGAGACAGGGCGGGTGGGCGGGCTTACATTTTGCTACGATCACTTACCATGTGAAATTTCATTTTTGAAAAAGTTGTTTAAAAATTCACAACAAATTTTGGAATCTAGGTCTCGAAATGTTCAGTTCAATTTCAATGAGTGATCATCGTTTTGGAGAAAGATCAAAGAAAAATACAAAAAATGAATGAAATAAAAAATTATGCCAAGAATATTCCAAGAAAACCGCATCCAGGGAACAAGATTCCTAGAATTTCAGGAGAAAACAACTAGTTAGAGTGCTAGGAAGACGAAAAGAAGATAAATTTCAAAACTTTTTCTTCAATTTATTCCATTTTGGAGACGCTCGTCCTCAATTCCACGTTGGTATGGGTTTAAATTTACATAAAATGGGAGTCACTATTATCATGCCGTTTTAACAAGGTTGTACAAAAATATTTTCTCGTGACTCACTCTCGTAACCGAATCCGCGAGTAAAAATTTCAATGAAGAACGAAACTTCAGTCATTGTTTTCTAACAAAACACAGGAAACGCCAACTGATTACCCATCATAAACCTGTCTATAAATCTTTCATCCCGCGGGAGTTATTTCAGCACCTAGTCAATTCCAACAATACCGTAATACACCGCAGATTTGTTTTTGAATGAAGACCCTCAAGATCCTCGATCTATTTCAAGCCCCTCCTGACGTCACCCCAGCCCGATTCCTCCCCAGACTGATTAATGTTTACCAATTAAGTATTTGCTGCCAAATTTAGCACCTGAAACATTCTTCAGTAATGTTCTAAATCCATTTGTTCTTGACCACTCCCACCCTCCGAAGCGCGTATTTTGGGATCTCTTTCTGGAGCAGGCGGCGTTGGCACCGCCACGCCGCCGGCTTCACGATTTCGAACGAACCGTCGCCTCCGGTGTTGCCAAAGTTAGAGCCGTCCCAGGCCCAAGAAGTAGGCTTCAGTTACAGAAACAGCAGCGCCATCTACACATATAAAACAAGAGACCCACCGTCCTCCGAGCCCCACTTCTGGTCCATTTACTAGAAGGCAAGTTTCAGTTACATCATCACAATGGTAAGTACATGCAACGTTAGTGCACGCAATTTGAGTGTAATTGAAGCATGCAAGCCGATAAAGCGACCGTCGGAGAGCCTGCCTATGCTAGAGCCTTTAAGTACTGGAAGCAGAAGATTCAGAAAGCGAAAATAGTAGATATCGTTCTTTAACGTCCGAATCATGCATTTCCATTCCAGATTACGCGGTTATATCATAGGTAGTGAGTGTATTAGTGTTTCCATGTTGTAAGGTGTACCATCCTTCTATGTGTGCTTTCTTCGTAGATTTGTCTGTGTTGTTGTGTTCGTTGTTTAACTTTTGTCGTAAATTGTGTTTAGGTGTACCTTGAGCTCGTCTAACAGTCCCCGTCTCGTAGATAACTCGTTTGTCGTGTCCATGTACCGTAAAAACTAACCCTAACCCAAAACTGGTGCTCTTTTACTAAATTTTTTTTCGTGTTACAGGCTGATCTTAGCGCCAGGGATGTCGAAAGTAAGTGGGAATACAATAATTTCGCCGACATTGCTAACGAAACACACGGTTCAGTCTAATTATAACCTAGAACTTATATGGCCACACTCGCATCTGGTCTAAATTTAGCCCCCATTGACTTCTAAATTTAGAACCGCGCTTCGCTATCACGTTTTTCCGCGATTCGTAATAGTAACCCAATTTCGAAACTTGTAACTAATTCCATTGTTAGGAGCGAACTTCGTGTTCTCCATTTACGACTTCGAGGGCAATGGTACCGTGGATGCCGTCAACCTGGGCGATATGCTCAGGGCGCTCAACCTCAACCCGACCTTGGCCACCGTCGAGAAACTAGGAGGAACCAAGAAGAAGAGTGAGTGACTAGGAGTGTCTAAGCGGTTTTCAGTGTTTCGTTCCAGACGAGAAGAAACTCAAACTGGACGAATTCCTCCCCATCTTCAGCCAAGTGAAAAAGGACAAAGAGCAGGGTACCTTCGAGGATTTCCTAGAGTGCTTGAAGCTGTACGATAAAGAAGAGAACGGTAAAATGATGGCAGCTGAACTTGCCCACACCCTCCTCTCTCTTGGTGAGAGGCTAGAAGACGCAGAAACCGACATCGTACTTAAAGACTGCATGGATCAAGAAGATGAAGATGGCTTCATCCCTTACGAACGTAAGTTGAGCACAAACACAACCCCGTCGAACTAGATAGATTAGAAATAAGCATGTTTTGCGACTTTCAGCATTCCTCAAAAAGATGATGGCGTAAGAAGCTAAAATTAAGTTTTATTTTTGAGTAAGTAGGAATTTTTGCGTACTCGTCGCCATGGCTTCGCAATGGATTCTGTAATGCTTCGCTGGCTTGTGGTTAACATTTACAGGGTTTTCGCTAAGTTGCTGAACCTGCTCTTTATTTTGATTTTTGAAAAACTGTACTCTTGAAGATCTTTTTTAACTGGTTTGTTTGTCTGTGCAGCACCTTGAGTCACCGTGCGTTCCACTTTTGGCCAATCAGTCTCATTGAACACCGAAGCCATCTCGCACGCTATGGGCACTACCAACCGTGGCCGTATTTGGAGATTTTTGTAAAAAAAATCAATCTTGTTAATAACTGTAAAAATACATTTTACTTTTCGTTATTGTATTATTATTGTCACAAATTATGTAAAATACCAACAAAGTTTCAATGAAACTGACAATAAAAGTAACACAAAAATAAACAATTTACACGCAAATTTTGTTTTGTTGGATAAGTAAGACTTAAAAAAATCCGAAATAAAAATTTCAAAATATCGACTAAGTTGCTTTCACTGTCCTGATTGAGCTGTAGTGTAGGTGGTTTAACAAGCAAAAAGTTGGAGCTTCCTTGTAAATTAAGCTGAACGGTTTTAATTAGGACGTGCAACCTCTGCACAACTTTAATTACTTTTAAAACGTCGGTGCTTAATTACCTGTTAAATATCGCGCAAAGGTGATCTTCATTAGACTCGTCGGTATTTATAGTCTCTGCTTTGTTCTTATTTTATAATGAAATCGGTAGTTTTAGACACATTTTTTTCCAAGAATTTCTAAAAATACGTTGCTAATTTTGCTCGTCGGAATCTGCTGATGTCTGAAACTTGAAATTTCCATCTACAAGAATAGTTTTTGTTGACAATTACAAACAATCAGAATTGTCTTTTTTAATTGGAGGTCCGTAATGAAAGCTTTAGTAGGAATCCAAGTGACTCGTGGTGGTTATTTTTATAACTGTAATAATAATAGAAAGAATGTTGTGGGTGATTTAGATAGGCAACCAACATTGCTCCATAATTTAGATAACAAGAACTATTTTACTTTACAGTATCGCGCTTTCACAAATATGCAATTAGACCGACCACTTTTTCTTGCCAACTGGAGGTTTAATCAGTTTCAATTATTTAGTGCCGTTACCGTTTCAATATTGACGGTTTTTAATATATAAATCATTCTAAAGAACAAAAATATATAACGCCTCGAAGCACATTTTTCGAAGGACTAAGATCAAAAATGTCTTCTGGTGGTTGAAATCTACAAAAAAATTACTTCAGGTACTTAATTCAAATTTTTGAAACTTTTTTGGAAAAGTTATCTAAATATTCGCAAAAACTTCTGGAAAAATGATCTTGACGTCCTGATTCGAAAAATATAACGTGTTTGTGATCCTGCAACAAGATTTAGAAATACTTGGTTTGGACATATTTTTTTTTAATTTCAAAAATTGCCAAATTTTATATTGCCGATTTTGGAAAAATCCTAGGAATATTCAAGGAAATGAATCCGAAAATAACTTCTTAAGATCAAAATCTATCAAAATAACCCTTCAGTTAAATTTTCAAGGGGACAAAATGTCTAAAACTAAAAATTCTATTTTTTGTAAAGGATTTTAGAAGTGTTCGGTTCGGAAATGATTTTTTTTTATTCTAAAAGTTGTCAAAGAAATGAATTCGAAAATAACCTCTGGAGGTTAAAATGCACAAAATATCTCTTCAGGTAATTTTCAGTGGTCGAAGAAAGGTCGAAAATTGAAAAATTGAGTTTTTGTCTGAATCCAAAAAAATTCCAGATAGTTGACAAATTAAGCAGAGCATTTTTTTTTATTGAGCACAACTTCAGACAATCAAAAAATTATGACTAAAATTATAAGCAAATTTAGTTCTTTTAGAGAAAATAATCTGAAGTCGATTTGGAAAGTGGTTTTAGAAACACTCGGGTCCAAAGTAAATTTTTTTGCAAATTCCAAAAATGCCATTTTCCGTATTTTACTTTAAAATTTTTTCATAAGGAGAGCTGAAAAATTTAACTTTTTGGAAGAGTTGTCTAAAATTCTCAAAAATTCTGGAACCTAAACCTAGAAAAAAGTAGCGTGTTTATGAACCCGGAACAAAATTTTAGAAATATTCGGATTATAAATATTTTTTTTTAATTCTAAAATTTGCCAAATTATATATTGCCGATTTTGGCAAAATCCTAGGGCTATTCAAGGAAATGAATCCGAAAATAACTATTTAAGATCAAAATCTACCAAAAAAACCCTTCAGTTAATTTTTCAAAGGGACAAAATGTCTAAAATTAAAAATTCTACTTTTTAGAAGTGTTCGGTTCGGAATCTTTTTTTTTTATTCTAAAAGTTGTCAAAGAAATGAATTCGAAAATATCCTCTGGAGGTTAAAATGCACAAAATATTTGTTCAGGTAATTTTCAGTGGTCGAAGAAAGGTCGAAATTGAAAAATTGAGTTTTTGTCAAAATTGTCTGACCAAAAAAATTCCAGATAGATGACAAAAAAATCATACACAAATTTAGTTCTTTTAGAAAAAATAGCCTGAAGTCGATTTGGAAAGTGGTTTTAGAAACACTCGCGTTCAAAGTAATTTTTTTGCAAATTCCAAAAATGCCATTTTTCCGCATTTCACTTTAAATTTTCATGAGGAGAGCTGAAAAATTTAACTTTTTGTAAGAGTTGTCTGAAATTCTCAAAAATTCTGGAACCTAGACCTAGAAAAAAAGTAACGTGTTTATCATCCCGGACATTTTTTTTTTTTTTAATTCTAAAATTTGCCAAATTATATATTGGCGATATTGGAAAAATGCTAAGAATATTCGACGAAATGAATGCGAAAATAACTTCTTAAGGTAAAAATCTACAAAAACTTGAAGTCAATTTTCGAAGGTAGTCGAAAAAATGTGGAAAATTAAAAATTGAGCTTTTTGGAAAAGTTGCCTAAAAATTCAAACAAAATTCTGGGTCATAAATCTCGACGTGATGATTCGAAAATGTATCGTGTTTTGATTCCAAAATAAGATTTTAGAAATATTCACTTTGGGAATAAATTTTTTTCAAAATTCTAAAAATTACCGATTTTAGAAAAATGTTTGGAGTTTTCGAAGGACTAATACTAAAAATAATTTCTGGATGGCGGAATCTACGAAAAAATCTCTTCAGGTAATTTTAGAAAGTGGTGGACAAAAAGTCGGACTTTTTTCCACAAAAAGTACTAAAAAATTTGGCTTTTTCAAAAAATTGCTTAGTTATTAAAAAAATCTGGGAGGTAGATTTCACTTCAAAATTCTAAAAAATGGCAAAAATTTACATTGGCGATTTTGGAAAAATGCTCCGAATATTCAAAGAAATTGATAAGAAAATAACTTCTGGAGGCCAAAATGTACAAAAAAAATTCGTTAGGTAGTTTTCGAAGGTGGTGGAAAATCGAAAAATTGACCTTTTGAGCTTTTGGAGAAATTGGCTAGATCTAAAAAAATTCAGATTTGTCGAAAATCCTGGAATAATCTTGAAAAATGAAAGAATCGTATTTATGTTGTGTACAAATAGTAAGTCGGTTAAGGTAAACAAAAATATTTGGTTTCGAAGACAATTTTTTTACCAATCCCAAAAATATAATTTTCCAAATTTCACATCGGTGATTTTGGATAAATGTTAGAAATTTTTGAAAAAGCAAAACCTAAAATAACTTACGGGGGTCGAAATCTACGAAAAAAAAAATCTCTTCGGGTTATTTTAGATGGTTGAAGAAGAGGTGAAAAATTGAAAAATTGAACTTTTTGGAAAGTTGTCTAAAAATTCACAAAAAAAATCTAGAACATTGATTTCAACGTGGTGATTCGAAAAATAAAGTGTGTTTATGGTTTCGAAGCAAGATTTTCGAAGCATTCAGTTTGAAAAATCAAATTTTATGATTGTCAAATTTTACATTGGCGATTTCAGAAAAATGCTACGAATATTCCAAGAAATGAATTCAAAAATAACTTCTTAAAGTCCAAATTTACAAAACAATCTCTGATAATGTCCGAAAGTGGTTAAAGAAAGGCCGACAATTGAACAAATGGGCTTTTGGCAAAATATAAAAAAATTCCACACAAATTTGCCATTTTTTCATATTTCACATTGGTGATTTTGGAAAAACGTTAGAAATTTTTGAAAAACTAAAACCAAAAATAACTTGCGGAGGCCCAAATCTACGAAAAAATCTCTCCAGGTAGTTTTAGAAGGTCGAAGAAAAGATGCTTTTTGGAAAAGGTGTCTAAATTCCCAAAAAAAATCTATAGTGCCAAATTTTATATTGGCGATTTCAGAAAAATGCTACGAATTTTCGAAGAACTAAAACTAAAAATATTTTCTGAATACCGAAATCTACGAAAAATTCTCGTTCAAGATTCTCGAAATTTTGTCTGAAAAACAAAATTTTTCAAAATTCTAAAAGTTGCTAAACTTTATATTGGCGATTTTGAAAAAATTGTAGGAATATTCCAAGAAATGAATCCGAAAATAATATAGTGACTCTGTTATGCAAAAAATCCAAAGTCGATCGGGAAGTTGGTTTTAGAAATATTCGGCTTTGAAGTTTTTTACAGATTCCAAAAAATGCCATATTCCCAAATTTTACATTGACAATTTTGAAAAATTATTAGAAATTTTCGAAGAGCTAAAACCAAAAATTATTTTTGGGGGTCGAAATCTAGAAAAAAATTTGTTCAAGTATTTTTTAATTTCATTCAAAAGATGGGAACTCGACAAATTCTAACATTTAAAAATCGAAAAATTTTAAAATCGTGAAAGTAAATAAACGAAAAATTGAAAAATCGAGAAACCAAAAAATTTTAAAAATTAGAAACTGAAAAAATCGGAAAGTAGAAAATATTAAAAATTAAAATATATAAAACGAGAAATAATGAAAAATGGAAAATTCGAAAAATTGAAAAATTCCAAAACTGAAAATCGGTAGATTCAAAATCGAGAAAGTGAAAAAATGAAAAATTGAAATAATGAAAAATTAAAAATCGCACTCAAAAAATTCAAGAAATGGAAAGTTGACACCTTAAGTTGAAACAGTGAAAAATTTAAGAAACGTTTGACAAAAATTGAAAAATTAAAATCGAAAATGACAAATCAAAAAATAGAAAAACCGAAAAAATAAAAAAAAATAAATATTGAAAAAACTAAAACCGAAAAATTGAAGAAATGAAAAACTGAAAATCGAAATCGAAATCAAACATTTTATAATTGAAAAATCGATAAATTAAAAATACAAAAAATTGAAAATAAAAAAAATTAAAATGGAGAAATTGAAAAATCAAAAGTTAACTGTAAAATCGAAAAATTAAAGAAATGAAAAATGGAAAATTCGAAAAGTTGAAAAATTCAAAAGCTGGGAACTCGAGAAATTCTGACATTTAAAAAACGAAAAATTCTAAAAACGTGAAAGTGAAAATACGGAAAATAGAAAAATCCAAAAAATTTGACATTGAGAAACTAAAAAATTGAAAAATGGAATAAACGAAAAATTGAGGAATTGCAAAGTCGTAAAATTAAAGAAACAAAAAATCGAAGAATTTAAAAAATTCAAAATTAAAATATATAAAATAGAGAACTGAATATGGAAAATTCGAAAACTAAAAAATTCCAAAACTGAAAAATCGGTAAATTAAAAATCGAGATAGTGAAAAAATGAAAGATTGAATTAAGGAAAAATTAAAAATCGTTTACTCAAAAAAAGGAGAACGGAAAAGTTGAAACACCGAAAAATCAAAATCTAGAAAATGACAAATCAAAAAATTGAAAAATCGAAAAACTAAAAAAAATATTTAAATATTGAAAAAACCAAAACCGAAAAATTGGAGAAATGAAAAACTGAAAATCAAAAAATTGAAAAATGCAGATGATAAGAAATCAAAAATTGTATAATTGAAATATCGATAAATTAAAAATACGAAAAATTGAAAATAAAAAAAATTAAAATGGAGAAACTGAAAACTCAAAAGTTAATTGTAAAATCGAAAAATTAAAGAAATGAAAAATGGAAAATTCCAAAATTCAAAAGCTGGAAACTCGAAAAATTCTAACATTTAAAAAGTGAAAAATTCTGAAAACGTGAAAGTGAAAAAACGAAAAATCGAGGAATTGCGAAATCGTAAAATTAAAGAAACGAAAAATTGAAAAATCGAGAAACCGAAAATTTTGAAAAACTGGAAGCCCAAAAATTCGGAAAATTTAAATATATAAAAAAGAGAAATGAATACGGAAAATTCGAAAACTGAATAATTCCAAAGCTGATAAATCGGTAAATTAAAAATCGAAAAACTAAAAAAATTTAAATATTGAAAATACCAAAACCGAAAAATTGGAGAAATGAAAATCTGAAAATCGAAAAATTGAAAAATGCAGATGATGAAAAATCAAAAATTTTATAATTGAAAAATCGATGAATTAAAAATACAAAAAATTGAAAATCAAAAAAATTAATATGGAGAAACTGCAAAATCAAAAGTTAATTGTAAAATCGAAAAATGAAAGAAATGAAAAATGGAAAATTCGTAAAGTTGAAAAATTCGAAAGCTGGCAACTCGAGAAATTCTAACATTTAAAAAATGAAAAATTCTATAAACGTGAAAGTGAAAAAACGGAAAATAGAAAAATCCAAAAAATTTGACATTGAGAAACTAAAAAACTGAAAAATTGAATAAACGAAAAATCGAGGAATTGCGAAATCGTAAATTTAAAGAAACAAAAAATCGGAAAATTAAAAAATTCCAAATTAAAATATTTAAAGAAGAGGAATGAATATGGAAAATTCGAAAACTGAAAAATTCCAAAGCTGAAAAATCGGTAAATTAAAAATCGAGATAGTGAAAAACTGAAAAATTGAAATAATGAAAAATTAAAAATCGTTTATCAAAAAAATGGAGAACGGAAAAGTTGAAACACCGAAAATTAAAAATTTAGAAAATGACAATTCAAAAAATTGAAAAATCGAAAAATTAAAAAAATTTAAATATTGAAAAAACCAAAACCGAAAAATTGGAGAAATGAAAAACTGAAAATCGAAAAATTGAAAAATGCAGATGATGAAAAATCAAAAATTTAATAATTGAAAAATCGATGAATTAAAAATACAAAAAACTGAAAATCAAAAAAATTAAAATGGAGAAATTGAAAACTCAAAAGTTAATTGCAAAACAGAAACATTGAATAAGTGAAAATGGAAAATTCGAAAAGATGAAAATTTCAAAATCTGGGAACTCGACAAATTCTAACATTTAAAGATCGAAAAGTTCTAAAATCGTGAAAATCAAAAAACCGAAAATTAAAAAATCCAAAAAATTTCAAATTGAGAAACTAAAGAATTGAAAAATTGAAAAAACGAAAAATCGAAAAATTGCGAAACCGAAAAATTTGAAAAACTGGGAACTAAAAAATCGGAAAATTGAAAAAATTAAAAATTAAAATATATAAAAAAGAGAAGTGAAAAATCGGTAGATTCAAAAATGCGAAAAAATGAAAAATTGAAATAACAAAAAGTTGAAAAATTGAGAAATCAAAGATTTGAAAATCGGAAAGTTGATACACCGAAAAATAAAAGAAACGTGAAACAAAAGTTGAAAAATTAAAATCGAGTAAATGCCAAACCAAAAAATGAAAAAACCGAAAAACTAAAAATCGAAAAATTGAAAAATGCAGATGATGAAATATAAAAAATTTTATAATTGAAAAATCGATGAATTAAAAATATAAAAAAATTGAAAATCAAAAAAATTAAAATGGACAAATTGAAAAATCAAAAGAAATGAAAAATGGAAAATTCGATAAGTTGAAAAATTCAAAAGCTGGGAACTCGAGAAATTTGAACAGTTAAAAAATGAAAAATTCTGAAAACGTGAATGTGAAAAAACGGAAAATAGAAAAATCCAAAAAATTTGACATTGAGAAACTAAAAAACTGAAAAATTGAATAAACGAAAAATCGAGCAATTGCGAAATCGTAAAACTAAAAAAACAAAAAATCGGAAAATTAAAAAAATTCAAAATTAAAATATATAAAAAAGAGAAATGAATACGGAAAATTCGAAAACTGAAAAATTCCAAAGCTGATAAATCGGTAAGTTAAAAATCGAAAAACTAAAAAAATTTAAATATTGAAAATACCAAAACCGAAAAATTGGAGAAATGAAAAACTGAAAATTGAAAAATGTAGATGATGAATCATCAAAAATTTTATAACTGAAAAATCGATAAATTAAAAAATACAAAAATTTGAAAATCAAAGAAAATAAAATGGAAAAACTGCAAAATCAAAAGTTAATGGTAAAATCGAAAAATTGAAGAAAAGAAAAATAGAAAATTCAGGAAATTGAAAAATTTAAAAATTAAAATATATCAAACACGGAAATTAAAAATGGAAAATTCCAAAGATGTAAAATCGGTAGATTAAAAATCGAGAAAAATGTAAAATTGAAAATAAAAAATCGTGCTCAAAAAACTGAAGAAATGAAAAGTAAAGAAACGTTTAACAAAAATTGAAAAATCAAAGTCGAGAAAATAAATAATACATTTTGAAAAAACTAAAACCGAAAAATTGAAAAATGCAGGTGATGAGAATTCCAAAATTTTATAATTGAAAAATCGATGAATTAAAAATACAAAAAATTGAAAATCAAAAAAATTAAAATGGAGAAATTGAAAAATTTATTTGTAAAACCGAAAAATTAAAGAAATGGAAAATGGGAAATTCGAAAGCTGGGAACATGAAAGCGAGAAAACGGAAAATAGAAAAATCTAAAAAATTTGAAATTGAGGAACTAAAAAATCGAAAAATCAAGAAACCGACAACTTAAAAAATTAATATATATAAAAAAGAGAAACGAATATGGAAAATTCGAAAAACTAAAAAATTCCAAAGCTGTAAAATCGTAAATTAAAAATCGAGAAACTGAAAAAATGAAAAATTAAAAATCGTACTCAAAATTGAAGAATTGAAAAGTTGATACACCGAAAAATTAAAAAAACGTTAAACGAAAATTGAAAAATTAAAATCGAGAAAATGACAAATCAAAAAATTGAAAAATCGAAAAACTAAAGAAAATGAAAAACTGAAAATCAAAAAATTGAAAAATGCAGATGATGAGAAATCAAAAATTGTATATTTGAAAAATCGATAAAGATGTATCGATGTATAGTTTTCACAGTCATTATATTTGTTAAATTTTGTTAAATTTAGGTATATTTACTCAGGTTATTTTGTTTTTTTTTTTTTAACTTTTATTTATTTTTACGTTTATATTTAATTTTTATGTCCTTCTGGATCTTTTTGTTTCACTATTAATTGTATGTATCTAAAGGGGTATCCCGTTGAATAGATAAATAAATAAATAAATAAATAAATAAATAAATAAATAAATAAATAAATAACTAGATCATTAGAAAATGTAATTTTCTGTTTATCATTTTTTTCTTTAGAAAAAACATTCCATAAAGGCAACATCTTAAAACTAAACATTATATTTATATATTTTTTTTCCAAAATTGATGCACATTAAACATATGACGCATCTAAATTGCTCTGCGAAATAGACTGCTAAGAAATGACTATTCTCGTTACGCTAATGCAGTCGTATTAAATTGCAATTGCGTTTTTTCGACCGGACTGCAACCAATGAAAAGTGCCGTACCGGCAATCTAAGGGACTGATTTAGATAAAGATAGGTGTGCTATATAAAACATCAGGATGACATTATTGAAGCCTCATTCGTCGCGCATCGCCAAGAAATCGCAGCGAAGCGTATTACACAATGGTAAGTTTAAATTTTTTTTATCTGTAATAACTCGTAATTTTGCAGGCGGATCTAAAACCGAAGGAGATAGAGGGTAAGTCTTTAAACAACCAAAAAAAAAAACACACACACACAATGTACCAAACTTGAAACCATCAACCTCAAACAGACGCAGAATGGGCCTACGACATCTTCAAAGGCATGGACGGCCTCGTCGACTCCACCTCGTTAGGAAAATGGCTGAACGCCCTGGACGTCAACCCCAGCGTGGCCAGACTCGAAAAGTTCGGCGTTGCCAAAAAAGTGGGTAAGTGTCATCGTTCCACGTTTTCGATTCGACCAAACACGGCGCTTTTCACAGACGAGAAGAAGTTCAAACTCGACGAGCTTTTGCCGATTTTCAGCGAGTTGAAGAAGGAGAGGAAGGATCAGGGTTGTTACGAAGACTTCATTGAGTGTCTGAAGCTGTACGATAAAGCGGAAAATGGAAAAGTGGCGGTCGGTGAATTGAGTCACTCGCTTTTATCTCTGGGTAATTGCAGGATGAGTTTTATATTTAAAGTTGACTTTGTTTCGTTTAGGAGAAAAGTTAACGGACCACCAAGTGGACGAGGTGTTCGAGGATTGTCTGGATGAAGAAGACGACGAAGGGGAGATTGAATATATACGTAAGCGGTTGTTTGGGTTGATTTTGTGGGTTTAAATGGGGTTTTGTAGCGTTTTTGAGGCGAATGTGCGGGCTGGACCCTCCAATACCACCCAAGAAGAAGAAGTAAGATGTGTCGGTGGTGTGAATATGATCTGTCAAAAAGGGATGCAGATAATAAAGTATAAGCTTTAAAGATGTTTTATTTGTGTTATTAAAGTCCTACTTCACATTCTTGCATGTTATAAACACTGAAACTATCTAAAGTCCCAACAAATTTTAAATAACATGCTTAACGCAAAGTAGGCAACCAAACATACACCTGAATCTGATCACTGATCAGTGATCCGAGGTTGCTTTGACAATTAAAAATTTTCATTTCATTTCCACTTGTGATTTTTTTGTCAGGTTGGCAACATATTTAAAATTTTATGATGGCAAACTTGATGACAAAATTGAAATTTGGGGCACCAATTCAGTAGCTGCTATCTCATTGGCCTTTAGGCACACTTATGTCAAACTCGACAACTATATTTGACATGCCAACATTTCTGCCAACAATTCAGAATTGCCAACCCAAAAATTTGCTTCGATCCTTAATACTCACCCGGTACTTTTTAATTTTTCAATTTGTCAACATAAAAAAAACTAATTTATTAAAAAACTATGTATAATTTTCACTAATTGTGACCAAGAAAATTTTTCTCTGATACATGTTAACACGATTTTACCACGATGGGTCCTCGAAAAATCGAAAAACCGAAGAAATAACAAAAAAAAAACTGAATACATTCTTGAAAATTTCAAAAGCTGAAAACTCGATAAATTCAAACGTTAAATCGAAAAATTATGGAATCGTAAAACTGAAAAAAACAAAAATTGAAAAACGCATAGAATTAAAATTTGAGAAATTGAAAAGTTGAAATATCCAAAAAACTGAATAATCGAGAAACTGAAAAAGCGAAAATTTGAAAAATTCGGGAAACCAAAAAAATCGGAAAATCAAAAACCTGAAAATTTAAATATACATATACATAGAAATTGGACAAAATCGAAAAATTAAAAATCAAGAAAGTGAAAAATTGAGAAATTGAAAAAATAAGAATTAAAACATTGAAAAATTGTAGACTCGAAAAACTGAAGAATTTAAAAGTCGAGAAACTGAAAACCCAAAGATTTAAAGATCGGGAATTTAAAAAATCGAAATATTAAAAAACGATAAATAAACATAGAAAATTTAAAAATCGAGAAAGTGAAAATTCAAAAAATTTGGGAACCGTAAAATTAAAGAAATGAAAAATTGAATAATTGAATAACTCAGAAGCTATGAACTCGTGTCTACCTTTTAAAAATAATTGAAAAATCGATAAATTGAAAATACGAAATTTAAAAAATCAAAAATTAAAACTGAAAAATGTAAAATTTAAAAATCGAGAAAATGAAAAGCCGAAGGACACAGAACGCAGCACGAAATACGAAGGACGAAGGACGAAAAAGACGAAGGACGAAAAGTACGGGAAGGTCGAAGGACGAAGAGGACGAATGACGAAAAGAACGAAGGACCAAGGACGAAGGACGAAAACGACGAAAAGGACGAAAAACGAAAAACGAAGGACGAACGACGAACGACGAAAAGGATGAAGGACGAAAAGGACAAAGGATAAAAAGAACGAAGGACGAAAAAGTCGAAGGATGAAGAGGACGGAAAGGTCGAAGGATGAAGAGGACGAAGGACGAAAAAGGCGAAGGACGAAAAACACGAAGGACGAAAGATCGAAGGACGAAAAGGACGAAGGACGATAAGGACGAAGGAACAAGGACAGAGAACGAAGGATGAAAAGGAGGAAGGACGAAAAGGACGAAGGACGAAAATGACGAAAAGGCCGAAAGAGGATGAAAAAGGACGAAAAAGGACGTAAAGGACGGCAAAGGATGAAAAAGTACGGAAAAGGACAAAAAAAGACGACAAGGAACGAAAAGGACGAAAAAGGACGAAAAGGACGAAAGAGGATGGAAAAGGGCGAAAATGGACGAAAAAGACGAAAGAGCATGAAAAAGAACGAAAAAGAACGAAAGGAACGAAAGGGACGAAAAAGGATGAAAAATTACGAAAAGGACGAAGAAGGACGAAAAATGACCAAAGAGGATGAAAAAGGACGAAAAAGACGAAGAAGGACGAAAAGGACGAAAGAGGATGAAAAACTACAAGAAGGATAAAAATTACGAAAAGGACGACAAAGGAAGAGAAGGACGAAAGAGGGTGGAAAAGGAAGAAAAAGGACCAAAGGTACGACAAAGGATGAAAAATTACGAAAAGGACGAAGAAAGACGAAAAAGAACCAAAGAGGATGAAAAAGGACGAGAAAGGACGAAGAAGGATCAAAAGTACGAAAGTGGATGAAAAAGGACGAAAAGGATGAAAAATTACAAAAAGGAAGAAAATGGACTAAAATGGACTAAAATGGACGAACAAGGACGAAAAGGACCAATAAGCACTAAAAGGACGAAAAAGGACAAAAAGAACGATGAAAGACGAAAGGGACGAAGGATGAAAAAGTACGAAAAGGACGAAAAGGACAAAAGACAACGAAAAAGGACGAACAGGACGAATAGGACGAAAAGCACGAAAAAGGACGAAACAAGACGAATAAGGACGAAAAAGGACAACAAGGACGAATTAGGACGAAAAGAACGAATAGAACCAAAAAAGGACGAAAAGGACAAAAAGGACGATAAAGGACGGAAAGAACGATAAGGACGAAAAAAACGAAAATGACGAAAAAGGGCGAAAAAGGACGAAAAAGGACGGAAAGGACGAAAAGGACGGAAAAGGACGAAACGGACGAAAAGAACGAAAAGGACGAAAAAGGATGGAAAATTACGAAAAAGACGAAAAAGGTCCTAAAAGGACAAAAAGAACGAAAAAGGACGAAAAGGACGAAAAAGGGCGAAAAGGACGAAAGAGGATGAAAAAGGACGAAGAAGGACGAAGAGGACGAAAAAGGATGCAAAATTCACCAAAAGGGCGAAAAGGGACAAAAAAGCACTAAAAGGACGAATAAGGACGAAAAAGGACGAAAAGGACGAAAAAGAAGGAAAGGACGAAAGAGGATGAAGAAGGACGAAAGAGTATGGAAAAGGACGAAAAAGGACGAACAATGATGAAAAATTACGAAAAGGACGAAAAGAACGAAGGAGGACAAAAGAGGATGAAAAAGGACAAAAATGACGATAAAGGACGAACAGGACGAAAAAAGACGAAAGAGATGAAAAAGGACGGAAAAGGACGAAAGAGGATGAAAAAGGACGAAAATGGACGAAATAGGATGAAAGGAAAAAAATGAACCAATAAGGACGAAATAGGACGAAAAAGGACGAATAAGGACGAAAAAGGACGAAAAAGGACGGAAAGGACGAAAAAGACAGAAAAGGGCGACAAAGGATGAAAAATTACGAAGAGAATGAAAAAGGACGGAAAGGACGAGAAAGGATGGAAAATTACGAAAAGGACCAAAAAAGTCGTGAAAGGATAAAAAAGGACGAAAAGGACGAAAAAGGACGAGAAGGACGAAAAAGAACGAAAAGGACGAAAGAGGATGAAAAAGGACGAAGAAGGACGAAGAGGACAAAAAAGGATGAAAGATCACGAAAAGGGCGAAAAGGGACAAAAAAGGACTAAAAGGACGAATAAGGACGAAGAAGGACGAAACAGGACGAAAAGGACGAAAAAAGGAACGAAAAGGACGGAAAGAACGAAAGAGGATGAAAAAGGACAAAAATGACGAAAAAGGACGAAAAGGACGAAAAAAGACGAAAGGGATGAAAAAGGACGGAAAAAGACGAAAGAGGATGAAAAAGGACGAAAATGGACGAAATAAGATAAAAGGAAGAAAATGAAACAACAAGGACGAAAAAGGACGAAGAAGGACGAAAAGAACGAAAAGGACGAAAAGGACGGACGAAAAGGATGAAAAACGAAAAGGACGAAGGACGAAAATGACGAAAAAGAACGAAGAAGGACGATAAGGATGAAGAGGACGAAGAGGACGAGAAAGGACGAAAAAGAACGAAAAAGGATGAAAAAGGACGATAAAGGACGAAAAAAGACAAAAAGAACGAAAAGGACGACAAAGGATAAGAATTACAAAAAGGACGAAAAAGGACGAAAAGGACGACAAGGACAAGGACGATAAAGGACGAAAGAGGATGAAAAAGACGAAAAAGAACGATGAAGCACGAAAAATGACGGAAAAGGACGAAAAGAACGAAAGGGGATGAAGAAGGATAACAAAGGATGAAAAGGACGATAAAAAGACGAAAAAGGACGAAAAAGGACGAAAAGGACGAAGGATGATAAGGATGAAAAACGAAAAGGATGAAAGATGAAAAGGACGGAGGACGAAAAGGACGAAAAAAGACGAAACAGGACGAAAAGGACAATATAGACGAAGAGGACGAAAAGGACGAAAAAGACGAATGAGGATGAAAAAGGCCGAAAAAGGACGAAAAAGGACAAAAAGGACGACGAAGGACAACGATTACGAAAAGGACGAAAAAGGACGAAAAGGACGACAAGAACGACAAGAACGAAAAAGAACGAAAGAGGATGTAAAAGACGAAAAAGGACGATGGAGAACGAAAAGGTACGAAAAAAGATGAAAATTACGAAAAGGACGAGAAAGGACGAAAAGGACGGAAAAGGAGAAAAAGGACGGAAAAACACGAAAAGGACGAAAAAGGATGGAAAATTACGGAAAGGACGAAAAAGGTCGTGAAAGGACAAAAAACTACGAAAAGAACAAAAAAGGACGAAAACGACGAAAAAGGACGAAAAGGACGAAAGAGGATGAAAAAGGACGAAGAAGGACGAAAAGGACGAATAAGAATGAAAAATCACGGAAAGGACGAAAAAGGACGAAAAGTGATAAAAAAGGACGAATAGGACGAACAAGGACGAAAAAGGACGAAAAAGGACGAAAAAGGACAAAAAGGACGATAAAGAACGAAAAGGACGAAAAAAGACGAAAGGGATGAAAAAGTACAAAAAGGATGAAAAGGACAAAAAGGACGGGAGAGGACGAAAGAGGATGAAAAAGGACGAAAATGGACGAAAAGGACGAAATAGCATGAAAGGAAGAAAAAGAACCAAGAAGAACGAAAAAG